ATCATTGTACTGTAACAAAATGCTAACTTGATCTGTAACTTGTCATGATAAAACTATATAACAATTATCAAATCAATATCTTCAAGCATGACGAAACAAAGTGAGGAAAACTGATTATTTGAGTGAATTTTCCAAGTCCAAGGACCATAACTCTGCAAGAAATCTTCAGATTGGAACAAAATTCAAAATTATCTGTGACTTGTCAGGATAAAACTATATACCAATTATCAAATCAATATCTTCAAGCTTGACCGAAAAAAGTGTGGAAACCTGATTATTTGAGTGAAATTTCTAAGTTCAAGGACCATAACTCTGCACAAAATCATCAGACCGGAACAATATGAAAACTTGATCTGTAACTTGTCATAATAAAACGATATACCAAATATCAAATCAATATCTTCAAGCATGAAGAAAAAAAGTGTGGAAAACTGATTTGTCGGACTGACGGATGGACAGACAGACGGACGGAGTGCAAACCTAAAGTCCCCTTCGACTTTGTCGGTAGTTAGGGGACTTATAAAAACAACAAATATGAAATATGCATGATAATGTGATAGAACATTTAATGCCTAATGCAGTAATGGTTAATCACATAGTCTATATATGCAACTGTTTATCGGTTTATTTTCCTGAAACACATAGTACATGATATGCACAATTTATACAACTGCATGTACAAATGTAATAAACTATATAAAAAATACACTTGGAGATAAATATGCAAGTTATTTGTTTACCATTTCTGGCAAAAAAAAATTATCTTTGCATGTTAGTTGTTACGAAGTTTGGTAAAAAAGATCTGCTTTATTAAGTCTGTATTTATCAAATAAATATTTAATATTTCCGTTTGCAGTGTGAAATTATAATAAAAAAAGAAAACGCACAATGATTTCATATTTAAATATCGTGCCAAAATTAATTTCTGACATTCTGACAAACATGCACGGGGAAATTGTTTAAACTTTTTAAGTCGTCAGGAGTTAATCCCCTTTAAGTTAATACCATTCCCAAAAATCACTTGCTGAAATGATCTTTTGTACCTGAATAAAAAATATCACTCATTGGCGTGATTTCTAATCTTCAGAAGGTCCAAATTTCTGACCACGCGAGTACTTGCATTTCAATCGAGAGTACGTATATTTTTCAACGTCAAAACGTAGTTTAAATGTTGAAGTTTATCGGAAAAATATTCACAGTATCAGCAAAAATCTTATAAAATCCCCAGACTATTTATATTTCGAGGCTATTTTTAGTCATTTTCAATCAATTTTTGTAAACTCCTTATCTTGTCAATGTTTACAGTATTTTCCCACCATATCTTTGGAAAATCACGTGGTTTCCGCAAAATCTCGCGAGATTACAACGAGCTACAAATTGCGGGAAATTCAAATTTTCAATTTTCTTTACCGATCGCTATGTTTCTATGCAAAAATAAAAAATCACGCAAATAAGTGATTTTAAAAATCACTTGTACAAGTAACTCCCCTGACTGTATAATGCAAACATAGATCTGCCTTTTTCTATTGAAAAGGTGCTTCTTAAATTAATTTCTAAAAATCAAAATTGTTTATTCTTAGAGAGACTGATCTGCATTCAACATTGTTTAACAAATGTTTAAGATTATCTTTAGGACTTATTCTAAATAAAATTTAGGTAATTCATTATTTCTCTATTTAATAATTATGTTCAGAATAATCATTACAGCAAAATTTGATAATATTTTTGTCATATAAACATATTATAATTAGTTTGTGACAAAAAAATACAAAACCGAACAATATATGCGAAGAAATAACAATTCTATAAGAAATCAAAACACATGGAAAAAAAATATTATGTTTCTGCCCTCAGTTCTAATGACTATTTGATAATGGAGCCAATATTTTAAACATGTTCCATGTTATAGAAGTTTAGCATTTCTTTTACTTTTTGTTCTTTGTTAAGATTTTATAAGATGTAAGATTTTATTCATAACCTGGTTAAGAGACATTATCATGAGAAGGTAAACAATTTTCAAATAGATTGTCTCTAAGTTATTATGTTAATTTTACAATCAAGGAGGAAGTGTTCTTCATCTTCCAGCAAGAGGCACAGTTTACATATATATTCTATCCTTTCTAGACATTTTATCCACTAATTTCTATTTCTAAATTATGACCACTAATTCTTACATTTGAGTTTACTGTTTTCATCATAGGTTTTTATTTTATTTTCAAAAATATTCTTAGTTTTGTTCTTAAAATTCATTTTTAATCAAAGGCTTCAAAGAGTCTAATTCATTCAAGTCCCTGCAATTATTAACTTTATCTAAAAGGCCTGGGTTGAGTGAAATATTCTTTGCAAATGTATACCAAGAATATGTATCATGCCAGTCCTGCACTTTTGATAATATAATACACAGAACAAAAAGTGATTAAATTAATAGACCCTAAAAATGCCACAATCTATAGAAGTGTACTTTATTTTTTCTGGAGACAGAAATTAGCCAAACTGAAGATAACATATTTGATAAGTAAACAATTGTTTCAAAAAGCAAGACATTTTTTTCTTTAAATAACTTCTTGTCATAAGATTTACTTTATTTAGAAATAAGAACATATCTCATTGTGATTAGCATTTTTGATGATAACTAGGTAGCCATTTGGAAAATTGAAGTCTCCAGTTTTGAGATTTGAAAAATATAAAAGATAAACAAAAAAAGTGTTTTCCTATAGCATATGATGATATTTGTAGTTTTGCTGAATAATAATAAACTGTACAACTTTGTTAACAAAATTTATTGTAAAAAGATTGATATTGATAATTTTAATTTGTTAAGAAACAGGCTTTTTAAATAACTTGCTTCTTGGTTCTTGGTTCCTTTAAACTTATAATTAATAATACATTTTGTAATTCATTTAATAATGCAAATGAACAATTGAATACAATGTAATGTACATCATGTACAATAACTTTTTTTTTACTGAAAAATAATTATTTATGGATTCTCTGTTTTGTTTTCACATGCTAGTCAATAACTTGACTTTTTGTCATTTCTACTCAAGATTCTTACCAAGAAGCAATTAAAAGAATAAAATGCAAAAAAAATAAAAAAATAAAAAAAAATAAAAACATTAGAAAGAAAGGAAAATATATTAATATTTAAAAAATCAACAAATAATATGAATTAACAAAGACTAAAACAACATTCTAATCTACTTTTTCAAGAAAAGGTTTAATGTCAATTTTAGAATCTGAGTTACCTGTACAGGTAAATTTTAATGAAACATACAAGCTGAAAACTTCAACCCTGATTGATTTCAACAGGTAACATAATTAGATAAAACATCAACCTATGTTTTATGACCCCAATAAATGGCCAACACCTCAAGATTGAATACCCCAATAAATGGCCACCATTTGATTTCAAGATTCAAGATTTATTGATAACGCTCAGACACATAAATGTGTAACATGAGGTCAAAGTATAATACATAAACAATTGAATGACGAAATGAGCATGCAGTACTATTTAAACACATAGAAATATATATTAAGAAAATTGCTTGTTTATTCTAAAATATTTACAAATGTATTTATTATTTAAATATTTTAGAATAAACAAGCAATTTTCTTAATAAATAATGATAGTCGTTTGTAGACTTCCATATTACATATGGACAATAATCCCTCCATTTTAATGTATTGCGGATTAATAGTATAATATCTAGGTAAGTATTGGTTTCTATAATTAACAATAGAATCATGTTGACATACAAATAAAATATGAAATTCATCACCAACAAATTTATGACATAATGTACATATTCTCTCTGGTCTAGGTATATTTTGCCAACGGCCTGTCTCGATTGGAATACGTAAGTTCGATGTCCTTAATTTAGTTACCCACCCTCTGTTCTGTTCAGATAGTCTGATCAGATATTTTTCTAATCCAAAGTCCTTTTTAAATGTCCCATAAAATTGTCCCCGAGATGAATTTTCTATATCGCCAAACCATGAGGTAATAAACTGATCACTCAATATTCGGTCGAGATAATTTTTATCACAAAAGCCAATTTGATTCATGAAAATGTATCCTAGACCAGTGTTGTTAAATATTGATTCTACAGAATCAATCCATTTGAAAGCATAATGACCATGATTCTTCAATGATAACATCAGCCTGTACAAAGCACTACTAAGTTTACTACTATTGTTTACAACTTTACACCAATACGAAATCATTCTACATTTAACTCGAATTTGCAGAGGAAATCTTCCCAATTCTCCATACACCATAAAATTGGGTGTAGTATTTCGAACTTTTAAAATTCTTTTGCAATATTTCAAATGCATCTGTTCAATAATTTTCAAATTCTCAAAACCCCAAACTTCAGAACCATATAAAAGAATTGGTTCTATCATGGAATCAAATAATTTCAGTTGCAAATCTATAGGAATGTTTTCGTTTCTAACAATTCTTTGTATAAAATGCATCGATTTTTGTGCTTGATCAATAAGTTGCTTTTTGGTATCTAAAAAAGTACCGTTATATTTAAAGATAACACCTAAATAAGAAAATTTTTCAACAATCTCAAGTTCTTTGTCTTGTAATAAAAATTTAAATTTCTTTTTACTTTTCCTCTTTCTAAAAATCATAACCTTTGTTTTATTTAAATGGTGGTGACCATACAAGAGGGTGGACATAATTAAGAGGAAGTCACAGGTTGTACTGTATCTACCGGACAATTCAAGTTCATGTGTAAAATCTATTTTTAATTGTTTGGTGCTTTTACCTTTTAAATTTGGTGTTTGAACTTTCTACCTACATATACATGTATGAATAGTTCATAATGTACATGTACCAAACTGTTTTCACTTGACTTTTTGTTTTATATGTACCCTGCAAGTCTTGACATCTTGTGACTTTCAGTAGCTATTTCCAATAAAATGAATAAAGAAAAGACAGTTTTATGATCAATCTACACATAAAAATAATTTCCCAATTCTATTTGTAGGAACACGATATCAAGACAGTGATTGTTTACAAGGTACAGCCCTTGGTGTTAGTAGTCGAGGAGGTAATCGAATACCCAACAGTAATTTCTGGGCATCGTCTTCCAGCAGTGATGTCAGACAGCCATATAAAGCACGATTAGAGGATTCTACAGGTATATTTTATTATTTGATATCAAATAAGGATATGTGGTATGAGTGCCAATGAGACAACTATCCAACAAAGTCCAAATGAAGTGGATTAAAGAAGCTATAGGTCACCGTACAGTCTTCAATATTGAGCAAAACCCATACAGTATCATCAGCTCTAAAAAGCCCAGACATGACAAAATGTGAAACAATTAAAAAAAAAAAGACCAAGGATCTGATTTACTACAAAACAAAGATTGTTCATTACTTTCCGTTTTTATTCAGCAATGAATTAAATAATGTTTTGCCTTAATCTAAATTTGATGAACATAACTTTTACCAATATACAAAAAAATCATACATTCTTTGAATGATTGCCGCCTTAATTTAACTTAGAGAATAAATGAACATAACAATGTGTGTGGTTTATGAAAATATTTTGCAGTTTTTTCAGAATGAAATGAAACTTGATGGACTTACTCTCTATATTGTGTGCAGATCTCATTTTTATGAAGATCACTAAATGTCTGCTAGAGTTACAGCCCTTTTTACATGTTTTATATAGTTTACAACTATTTGAAGTTACTTTTTGAATATATCTACAATATACATGTATTTTGTTCAAAACATTATTTCTCCTACAGTTTTCTTAAGAACTAGTTAACACTGTTTCTACATTCAGGCTTCTGGTCAGGTTTTAAAATATAATTTATGCTACAATATAACCCATTATATACTGAAAGGTGGATTTAGGGGGTGTGGGGCAGGTTGCCCGGTCCGTCCTTATGTGGGAAAAATTTGGTTGATTGTTTAGGGACCACTGAAGCATGACTAGAGCAGGCCCCCCTTATGGCAGTCAGCAGGGATCTCCATGACCTGCTTTATGATAGCGCACGCCATCGTTAAAATATCTTTTGCCACCGTCAATTGATCCCTGCCATCGTTGAAATATCTTCCGCCATTGTCAAAATTTGTTTTTGTTTCTCTAGCTGTCGTCATTTTTGTTAGCAATTATAATCAATTAACCCCTAGGCCTTTTGTATTATAATCCAAAGGGTCCTGATTACAGTTTTCAAGCCCTGAGGGATATCCGGCTAAAGATCACTAATCACTTGTACAGGTAGATCGACACACCTGACAGGAGAACTCTGTAATAGTTATCCCATGAGGACGCACTGCCAGAGGCCGGAGGGTGATCTTACACTGACACACCATGTCGGAATGGGATAACTATTTTACATCCCAGCTGTTCTAGATTATATAAAAAAACTTTTACTCTTCATAACATCTAGTTTTAGAATGCCACACAATCATTATAATATACTTTATATATTACTGTATATAGTATATACCCATTATGAGCCCCAGAGACAAATTTTAAATAAGCTCAATTAACTGAGAGTTTATATCCAGTCATCCTGGTGTAGGGGTATGAATCGTGGGTCTATATGCTAAAGGTCTTGAGTTCGATTCCCAGCATAGACACTGGATTTTTTCTACATAAATTTTGATAGTTAGTCGTTTCCACATGAATATTGCTAAGTTTTATTGTGGATTTGACATTTCCGCCAAAATGTTACAGAACAAAGGAAATCATGCAGAACAAAGAAACGCAAGCTAGGGTGATCTGGTAGGGGTGATCCGGCTCAGATGGAGCTGGGATGTAATGATCAAGATAGACGATTAATTGCATTATTTAATTACGTTTCAGCAAATACTAATGAAAATTTGATTAAAAAATAAATGTTGAATCCAGTAATAAAGAAAAATGTTTTAAAAGTCGAACATGTGCTTGTATATTGACCTACGCAATCAGCATCCCCCTTTTTAAACGAGTACAAAATACGACCTAAAACTGAACCTGATTTCATGCCATATAACACGAGTACAGCATTTATCGATAATATTTAATCACTTTACAAGTTTAAAAGTAAATAGATGAATATTAACTGCAACTTGATAACCTTCAAAGAAATTTCATATCGTAATTCCGAATTCATTTTGTAGTTTACAATCAAATTGATACATCTGGTTTTCCGGTTTACATTCAGAATTGAAAGATGAATGTTTCACAGTACATTGTATATTCCTATGAAATTAGCTATTTAAAGTCATTAAAACTTTTTAAGTTGTAAACGTTTGCCCTCCAAATCTTTTCTTTATTAATTGTTACAAATGGCAATTAATGAAAATATTTGTTTTTCTATAATGAAATAAATATAATAAGCAATATATTAGCCTGTTCACCATTCCTTACATTGAAATGAAGGAATGAAATATTTTCGATCATGCCACGCAAAAGACGTGGGGTTTTTGTCATGGTGAAAGTTCCTACATCGTTAAATTTTCATCCATGGAGATCCCTGAGTCAGTTGGCCCCCCTTTATAAAAATTTCTGGATTCGCCAATGATACATGTAGCATTATTAAAGAGATACCTTATAGATTTTTAAAAATAAGAAAAATCTTTAGATCCTGATATGAAGATCCTTAAATGTTTTATGAAATAAAAACTCTTTTTTTTGTTTTGTTTTTTGCTATTTGAAGAAATTTTTAAATGATACAAATACCAAAGCAACATTTGTCTCTTCACAGGTGCATGGACTGCAAGTATTTTAGATACAAATCAATACTTAGGAATAGATCTTGGAGGAGAATACATCCTAACGGATATATGGACGCAAGGTCGACAAGGGTCAGGGGAATTTGTGACAGAATTTTATATTGCATTCTCCAGTGACAAAACAACATGGCGGGAGTATACAAATGAATATGGTATTAGACAGGTTAGTATAGCTTATATTTGCATTCTCTACAACTTCAGAAGATTTTTATGTTTCGCTGCAGCGGAGGGGCATCAAGTGTTACGCTTGTCCGTCTGTACGTCAAATGTTATGAAACTTACACACAATGCTTATTACCACAAAACTCAGATAAAGTTCAAATTTGTGGGGCGTCACTTTTACCCTTCTTGAGTTATGTCCTTTATAGCAAGTATATTCAATCGAGGGCATTATCTGTGTTCTCCATTTATTTTATAAAGTTGTAAATCTATCTTTTGGTGATGATCTCTATCATAATGGCAAGTTAAATAGCATGATAAGAACATATGCAATTATTATGGATAAATGTCGTCTTCATGATCTTTTACTTTGTGATCATTTTAAGTATACGAATACCAAAACTTTATTTAGATTCAGTATAGTTATCAACTACGAAACATAAGCTCTAGAGAGCTTTTGATCGAATACATACAAACATATACAACAGTATAAAAAACTAAACATCTAAACTGATACTTTGATAAAGAGATGGCACAATTGTTCCACCATCCACTTTCTGTAAATGGTTTTTATACAACCGCAAAAAAAATTTTGTGGTTGTATATTGGTATGACGTTGGCGTTACCATAAGGTTCAATACCACAAAAGGAAGGTGGGGATTGATTTTGGGGGTTATGGAACCAACAGTTAAGGAATTAGGGGCCAAAAATAAGCATTTTTATACGACCGCAAAAAAATTTTTGTGGTCGTATATTGGTATGACGTTGGCGTCGTCGTCGTCCGGCGTCGTCGTCCGAATACGCATTAGTTTTCGCACTCTAACTTTAGTTTAAGTGAATGGATCTCTATGAAATTTTACCATAAGATTCAATACAACAAAAGGAAGGTGGGGATTGATTTTGGGGGTTATGGTACCAACAGTTAAGGAATTAGGGGCCAAAAATAAGCATTTTCTAGTTTCCAGACAATAACTGTGGAACGGTGTATGGATCTCTCTGAAATTATACTACAAGTTTCCATACCACAAAGGGATGGTTAGGATTTGCTTTGAGGGGTTATGGCTCAAACCGTTTAAGAATTAGGGGCAAAAAAGGGGGAAAAACAAGGTTGTCCTGGTTAATGGACAAATACTTTAGTACAAAACATAATTTAAAGCAGTGTAAGGGAGATAAATCAAATACATCATTGAAATTATCTCCCTTACACTGCTTTTAAATTATGTATAAAGTAATGGTTAATGAACAATTAAGATAATTTAAAACAGTGTAAGGGAGGTAATCCAAATACAACGTTTTGGTTACTTCCCTTACACTGCTTTTAAATTATGTTTAAAGAAATGCATATTTATAAAGGAAGACCAGTAAAAATATCTGCAAATGTTGCATCTTTTTTTTTTACAAAAAAATCCATATGAAAGATTTGACACTATATTTTAAATTCTATTATAAAATAGATTAAGTTAGCACTATGGTAAATTTAAATGGGTAATTATGGTTTGGGGGAAAAAATGGGGGGGGGGGGTAAAAAGAAATTGTGGGGGGTCAATTTTTTCTCATTTCAGATTTCAGAAATTAAAAAGAATTATTCTTCAAATATTATTTTTTTTTCAAATTTCAAATATTGAAAAATTTCAAGAAGTAATCTTTAATTGCACAGTATGGCGCATTAGATTTGTAAAATCTTTGACCACATTTATTTATTTGTTATGCCGAATCTAACGATGTATTTAGATTTTTAATTTTGGATCCAGTTTTCAAATTGGTCTACATTAAGGTCCAAAGGGTCCAAAATTAAAATTTGTTTGATTTTAACAAAAATTGAATATATGGGGTTCTTTGATATGCTGAATCTAAACATGTTTTTAGATTTTTGATGTTTGGCCCAGTTTTCAAGTTGGTCCAAATTGGGGTCCAAAATTAAACTTTGTTTGATTTCAACAAAAATTGAATATATGGGGTTCTTTGATATGCTGAATCTAACCATGTATTTAGATTTTTTATTTGTGGACCCCGCTATCAAATTGGTTCATATTGAGGTCAAAAGGGTCCAAAATTAAACTTTGTTTGATTTCATCAAAAATTGAATTATTGGGGTTCTTTGATATGCCAAATCTAACCGTGTATTTAGATTTTTAATTTTTGGGTCCTGTTTTTTAAATTGGTCTACATTAAGGTCCAAATGGTCAACATTAAAATTAGTTTGATTTTAACAAAAATTGAATTCTTGGGGTTCTTTGATATGCTGTATCTAAACATGTGTTTAGATTTTTGATTATGGGCCCAGTTTTCAAGTTGGTCCAAGTTGGGGTCCAAAATTAAACTTTGTTTGATTTCAACAAAAATTGAATATATGGGGTTCTTTGATATGCTGAATCTAAACATGTATTTAGATTTTTGGCCCAGTTTTCAAGTTGGTCCAAACTGGGGTCCAAAATTAAACTTTGTTTGATTTCAACAAAAATTGAATATATGGGGTTCTTTGATATGCTGAATCTTACCATGTATTTAGATTTTTTATTTGTGGGCCCGCTATCAAATTGGTTCATATTGAGGTCAAAAGGGTCCAAAATTAAACTTTGTTTGATTTCATCAAAAATTTAATTATTGGGGTTCTTTGATATGCCAAATCTAACCGTGTATTTAGATTTTTAATTTTGGGTCCCGTTTTTTTAAATTGGTCTACATTAAGGTCCAAAGGGTCCAAAATTAAACTTAGTTTGATTTTAACAAAAATTGAATTTTTGGGGTTCTTTGATATGCTGAATCTAAACATGTGTTTAGATTTTTGATTATGAGCCCAGTTTTCAAGTTGGTCCAAGTTCTTAGACCACATTCTTTCTGTGTCAGAAACCTATGCTGTGTCAAATATTTAATCACAATCCAAATTCAGAGCTGTATCAAGCTTGAATGTTGTGTCCATACTTGCCCCAACTGTTCAGGGTTCGACCTCTGCGGTCGTATCAAGCTGCGCCCAGCGAAGCATTTTATTGTAACTTCCAGACATAACTTGTGTGTAAGTGTATGGATCTCTCTGACATTGTACCACAAGGTTCCATATCACAAAGGGAATGCTGGGATTGATTTTGGGGGTAATTGCCTTCAAATAATAGGAAATTGGGGCCAAAAAGGGCCAAAAAACAAGCATTTTTCTAGTTTCATGACAATAACTTGTGTGTAAGTGTATGGATCTCTCTGACATTGTATCACAAGGTTCCATATCACAAAGGGAATGCTGGGATTGATTTTGGGGGTAATTGCCTCCAATTTAAGAAATAGGGGCCAAAAAGGGGCAAAAAACAAGCATTTTTCTAGTTTCATGACAATAACTTGTGTGTAAGTGTATGGATCTTTATGAAATTGTACTGCAAGGTTCCATATCACAAAGGGAAAGCTGGGTTTGAGTTTGGGGGTAATTGACCTAAAAGCTTAGGAAGAAGGGGCCAAAAAGGGGCAAAAAATAAGCATTTTTCTAGTTTCCAGACAATAACTTGTGTTCAAGTGTATGGATCTCTCTGAAATTGTACTGCAAGGTACCATACCAAAAAGGGAAGGCTGGGATTGATTTTGGGGGTAATTCCCTCGAAATTTTAGGAATTAGGGGCCATAAAAGGGCAAAAAAACAAGCATTTTTCTAGTTTCAGGACAATAACTTGTGTGTAAGTGTATGGATCTTTATGAAATTGTACTGCAAGGTTCCATATCACAAAGGGAAAGCTGGGTTTGAGTTTGGGGGTGATTGCCCTAAAAGTTTAGGAATTAGGGGCCAAAAAACAAGCATTTTTCTAGTTTCCAGACAATAACTTGTGTTCAAGTGTATGGATCTTTCTGAAATTGTACTGCAAGGTACCATACCACAAAGGGAAGGCTGGGATTGAGTTTGGGGGGTATGAATCATAAGGGGGTTCAAAAAATTTGGGGGGGGGGGATTTTTTTTTCCCTTTTTTTACTTTTAAATTTTCCATTTTAAATTGGTTATTTCTGATTTATATATAAAAGCAAATAATAATGATATGGTTTGAATAGGTAAATTAAAATTTTTTTAAGTTCTTAGACCACTTTCATTCTGTGTCAGAAACCTATGCTGTGTCAAATATTTAATTACAATCCAAATTCAGTGCTGTATCAAGCTTGAATGTTGTGATTTTTAACAATAAGACTATTTTAGGTTACATATAAATTGTATTTGATTAATCTCTCTCTCTCTGTGACTTTCTCACATACAACATTAATAATTTTCACTCATCTGTTTTGCTACATTATGTATCATGACTTGCTTTTTAATACAACTATTTTTAAGACAAACATCTATTTGCTCATAGTATATAACTTATTTCTTAATGTACATTATTATGTAAGAATATGTTGTGATAAATCCATGGATAAAATTATTATATAATACTATCATTAAACATCATATCAGAATTAATGATAATTGATTTTCAGATGTTTGGTGGGAATACAAACTCTGACATGATTGCCAAGAACTACCTGAAATATCCAGTTGTTGCTAGATATATAATGTTCCACCCACAGAGATGGGTTGGTGTAATATCAATGAGATTAGAAATTTTTGGTTGTAAATACAGTAAGTGTACATGTAGTACTGTAGGTTTGTTAATTTTTATGGGTACCAATTTTCTTTGATTTCAGAAAAATTTGAATATGAAATATGAATTTGTGGTTCAAATGAACACATCAAATCCATTAAAATTGGCATCCTATGAATAATTATGAATCCACAAAAAATGTTTGAAACTGGACTTTTTGTATCGCCTGAAACAAAGGCATGACATAGCTCTCCTACATTTCGTTGTCTTGCTTGTTATCAGCATTTAGATTCAGTCTATTGTTTAAATTATTGAGGTATCAATAAAATTTGTCAAAACTTCACGGAATTTTACAAAACTTGGACAGAAGCTTATTCAAAATCAAAAGATTAATTCATTCTCAATATTTTACTGATAAGGGGACTTAGTTTTTGGCAATGACCATTACACTTTTAGCATTGACAACAGGAATCCATGTGACACACAGGGTTCTAAGGTACTCTTTGAATTTTTTTTTAAACAAATCTTCAGCGATATTTTTATCCATTTTCTAAGATAAAATGGTCTATAGGTAAAAAGGTGTTCTGAGGCTTAGACAGTACACAAATTAGACAAACTCAAATATTTTTTGAATATTGCAACATTGTGCAATATTGAGTTTTTTTTATATCAGTTCTAAAAGTCCTCTGTTTTGTCTGAAATTATGTGTCTCCTTAAGTAAACATTCTCATAATATAATAATGTAACTGATGTTTTTAGAAATTTGCTAAAAAAATATAATACATTAACGAAACAAGGAACAATCATCTGTGTTTCAATTTAGATTTTCTCATAAAACTGAAATAATCATGATATAAAAATATAAATACTTAATGACAAAGAAAAGTAGTCTGTAAAAAAATAAGAAGATGTGTTATGATTGTCAATGAGACAAATCTCCACCAGAGACCAAATGACGTAGAAGGTTAGCAACTATAGGTCACTGTATGGCCTTAATCAATGAGCAAAATCCATACTGTATGTGTTACATTTGTTGGTCAATCAATTTTTTATGCCCCACCTAGTTGCATTATGTTTTTCAGTCTGTGCATCTGTTCATCCGTTTGTCCGTCTTTATGTTCCACTTCAGGTTAAAGTTTTTGGTCAAGGTAGTTTTTGCTGAAGTTGAAGTCCAATCAACTTGAAACTTAGTACACATGTTCCCTATGATACGATCTTTCTAATTTTAATGCCAAATTAGAGCTTTGACCCCAATTTCACGGTCCACTGAACATAGAAAATGCGAGTGGGGCATCCGTGTACTATGGACACATTCTTGTTTTGTAATAAATTCTGAACAGTTTATGAGTTTTGATCATGCATTGTATATAGATAAAGATACATTATTATTTGATTTTTTTAGCCTCTGAAGTAGCAACCTTTGATGGGAAGTCCAGCATTAGCTATGATTTATCAGTTGGTAACACTGGTCCCATGCCATCTAATAATATCAAATTAAGATTTAAAACTAAAGAACAGAATGGTGTCCTGTTTTATGCCTCTGGAAACCAAAGGGATTACCTATCATTAGAGCTTGTACAGGGAAGACTAGTTATGCATATTGATTTAGGTTTGTATAAAAACTAGATGTCAAATCTGTGAGGAATTACTAAACTAATGCTAGTTGGTTTTATCGAGTGATACTTAAGTACTCACTCTGGAAAACAATAATATACATTTTACTCTTGATTTATAAAAATAACAACAACAAAAAACCTTGGGACAAGCACATACAGAATGTTGTGGGGTTAAGCATGTCTCAATAATATACAAATAAATCATTATGAAGGGAGGCCTAGGTGATCTTGCATTTAAAAAGTTTCACTTGGCATGCCAAACCAAGGTCTATTTATATCATATTAACATGCTATTGTCCAAACTATAGGTTTAATACTGCTGCTGGACATGGAGACACCATCAGTCAATTATTTGGTTTATTCATACTGTTAGTATCAAAGGTATTTCAGGGTGGCATAGAGACTATTTTGGAAATATTAATATATTTTATTGAGAGAAAAAAAAAACATGTATTTTTAAAAACAAAATATGTTTGCACAAGTAAGCACAAGCATCTTTAAGAATGTATTTAAAATGTTAAAAAAATATAATGTATATAATTTGAAAAATTAAAAAAAATTGGTTTGAATACATCTTGATGTTGTATTTTTAATATTTTCTTATTAAAGGATCTACAGCAAATAATCCTGGTGCCACTAATCAGACTGGTGGTAATCTCCTTGACGACAGCCAATGGCACGATGTAATTATATGGAGAAATCGTACAGATGTTCGTCTGGTTGTTGATAGACTGGAAACATACTTTAAGACAAATGGTCTTTTCTACAGATTAAATTTAGACAGAACTGTAAGCAAAATATATATGAAAAACTTTGCATAGTACATTAGTTATGTTATTAGGGTAACATTGTTATTGTTTCATATTAAAGGATGAAATTTTATTAGTCCCCTACCGACGAAGTCAAAGGGGACTTTAGGTTTGCACTCCGTCTGTCTGTCCGTCTGTCTGTCTGTCCATCTGTCAGTCCGGCAAATTAGTTTTCCAGACTTTTTTTCTTCGTGCTTGAAGATATTGATTTGATATTTGGTTTATTGATTTATCATGAAAAGTTACAGGTCAAGTTCAATTTTCACAATTTTAGCTATTCTCTTTGTTCAGTTAAAGCCCTTTCCCTAGAATTAAATTTTTGATGAAATACTTATTAATTAGTAGATTTCTGTTCAAAGGGAAATAACTCATTTTCTAAAAGATTTTTAAAAGACAAAATGACATTTTGGATTTTTTTCCTTTTCTTTGGTAAATTATTTCAAGAATTTAGTGATAGGTTTGTTTGTCATTCATGAAGATATTGATTTGATAATTAGTATATAGTTTTATCATGACAAGTTACAGATCAAGTTGGAATTTTGTTCCAGGTCTGATAATTTTGTGCAGAGTTATTGTCCTTGGACTTAGAAAATTCACTTAAATAATCAGTTTTCAACTCTTTTTTTCGTCATGCTTGAAGATATTGACTTGGTATTTGTAATATAGGTTACACCATGACAAGTTACAGATCAAGTTAGCATTTGTTCCAATACAATGAATTTGTAACTGGTAGGGGACTATGTATTGCCATGCAATACTCACAGAATGCTTGTTCATATACATGTATGATTGGTACTCCCATGGAAGTAATATTTAAAAGGAATAACAACGTCGTCACTTCAAAGGTTTCATCTGCGTTACCGCCCATCTTTCGATAACTCGTTAATTGGTTTAATATCTGGCATGGAAGTTGATTCTCCGCATGTGATCGATCAAATCACTGACACTTTTCGGTCATTTTCTTGTTCACGGAAAACTACGAACAGACAAGTTTTTGTCGTATATACGTGCGAAGTAACCCGAATAGTCCATTCGTTACATTCCGTTGATGTACGCTGCCTAATAGAGTCATTCGTTCAATTTTTATTTTAGTCCAATTTTCCAATTTCTGGTTAGTTCGATCTTAATAGTACCAACAGCTATCACATATGAAATTAGAGAACAAGGCTGGGTCATTTTTAATTTTAATATTTACAGACAGTTAAAAAGCCATTTCCGTAAGTTAAGAAGATGATTTAACAAAAAATACGTTTGGACCCCCTTTTAAATATGAATAATCTAAGTCTTTCGTGTATTAGTCAATTAAAATATTCACAATTCTAAACGGTTCTATCCTTTAATTTATAGTTCTTGATACATAAACTAATTTGTGTAAAACTGAATTTGCCGTAAGACAGATATTGTCAAGCTCATTTTGTCGGTTTGTTTTAATTTTTGCTGTAGCTTGTTATATTAATACAAGTATTCCACAATAAACACTTTTTCAAAATGTATATGTTTACGAACATATTATCCCTTTTTTAGCTGTCCAGTTTCAATAATGTTATCAATGACATTTATGACATATACATAAATTTAGAATACTTGTCGATAAACTTTGCACATTTCAACAGTAAAAAAATCTATGTCTAAATTTGTCTACATTATTTTGTTAAACATCATGTGAAACCTGATCAATTCATCGGTATTTAACTGTTTTACTCGGGATCCGCTTTTAACCGGAAAATACTTTTAGCACAGTTTAAACCAAACGGTAAAAAGCAAAAATATGCTAAATAAAATACAATTTTCCATGCTAAACTGTTGTAGGTTGAACAATTCTCGTCCGTTTTTCAAGTTTTTTACATCATACGACTTCTTTCTGAAGGTAGAGGTTTTATATGATACAGCGCCACCTTCTTATTAATAAACCTCGGATTTCACACAGGTGCTTTATAATTACCGGACTCGCTAACATCACGTGACTGATAAGAAATTCCAGATGCCATTTTACAACCGCGGTATCACAGATAGTAACCAAAGGGGTCTTGCCGCTGAGACTATAATTGGATAAAATCATATGACTTTGAGTACAGAGCTCTGCAGGCTGTTAATACATGCTAATTAGTCGTTGTGATTCCTTTTAAATATTACTTCCATGGTACTCCTAACTTTGTCCTTTAGATTCATCTACTCAGTTCAGGGGTTTATGATATCAAATATCAAGGAGTTAATTACCTCTGCTGTGAATGTCAATCTTCCTAAGAGATACTGTGGATTCGTTTTTATTCGTGGGATAATAATTTCTGTGGATTTTGTGGGTCAAGGTGAACCACGAATTAAAATGTTCAACAAAGTATAGATTTTATATAGGGGTGTATTCAGACTTTGGTAAATCCACAAAAAAACAACTTTTTCCTCAATCCAAGAAAATTGGTATCCATAAAAAATGCTCTTAAAGGGGTAGATAACTCATTAAAGTGGCACCATTTTGAAAGAATCTTAAAATTTGTGTATGAATTAGTGGTTTTATTCCATCAGTAACAGATCTCTGAAAATATTTACCTCTGACCAAAAAATAACATTTTTTTTCAAAACATAATCAAAATTCTGTGATTTTGTGCTGTTGAATTAGTGTATACTAAGGAATTATATTTCTGTTGTGTGACAGGGCTCAAAAATATGGGAACCCAATCTCATCCATGGCTCTGAAGAAGTATTTAGTGGGTTTAATACTAAAAACATATCTGGAAATATTGTTACACAGTTTACCATTAAACAGGAAATAGACAGTTTGATGACTCAAAACAGGTCTTTATTAAAAAAAAAAAGAACTTTTATGAACACATGTACATTTGTAGTTTAAAATTAAAATAATGTTAGTAGGCTTTTATTTGTGGTTTTGAATAAATGTACTGGCAATGAGTTCTACTTCAGCTATCGTTTTGGTAATTTTCTATCTAACATTGGTATATTTGCCTAACATCCAGTGGCTAATGTTTCATGCATATTCATGATGATATACAATAACAAATTAGATTTAAATAGTTTGATGAATAAATCCTTACCCATATCAGAGCTGAGGTAATGATTTGATGAATTTATATCTAAAGGATGGTGAAGGTTGTAAAATTTCTGATGTTGGAGATTACCCTAAACATCATAGAATAAATTTATCATATATATAGCATTCAACATTGAAATCCACTTATCACATGATACTGAGCACATTTAAGGTTAAAAATCTTGAAACTTTATAAAAAATATTTGCCTAAATTTTCATATTGCTCTTTATCATGTTAATGTTATGACAACTACATGCAGTGAAGTTGTTTTCATTGATAGAGTAACATAAATGTCATATTTATTGTGTTTTTGCTGTAGATTTATTTAGGAGGTGTTCCTACATTTAATGTAGAAGGCATCACAGTTCGTCATAATTTTACTGGTTGCCTTGAGAATGTTGTATTTGAAGGAAGTAAGATGATAAGTGATGCTAAGAACAGAATACCAGGTTACACAGTTGGTAACAGTCAAATAGCAACAATGTTTTCTTGTAAGGTAATAATTGTTTGTTTCCTGTTTTTCAGAAAGAATACCATATCTGTCCGTCATGTAAAAGTAAAAGTAGATTTCATTGATGATTTATTTGTAAAAGTTTATCCAAAGTATAAATTTGTTTTACTGTAATTAATTTTATGACTTGTCATATGCCCTTAAGAAATTTTCGTAACAAAATCAGCTGTGAAGAAATATTTAGGGAATTTACTCTCATGGAAGAGGATCAGATAGTTTTCCAAAATCATCTCTTCTCTGTATACAAAAGGTTTCAACTTATGTCTGTAGAATCAAACAATCTTATAAAGTTTCTTCATTCCGTGTTAAAAAATGGAGATGATGAAAAAATTGTGTCTTTAAGGGCAGTTTCCCATTCTATTGTCATTTTTATGATTTTTTGAAAAATGATGTAAATTGAGATATCTCTCCAAAATCCCAAAATAAAACATGTGGTTTCCATGATTTTTTCGCGGGAAAATGAGGTATAAAAATGGGGAATTTAAGTAAGTTCAGCAAAATTTACTGACATACCTCAAAATTTTTAAAAACTGGTAATTTATTCAATGGAAGGATTCCTCTTGTCATCGATAACAAATGATTCTCAATTTATGAAACCACAAGAAGCCTTTGTAATTTGAAGAAATCCTATTGTAGATACTTACACATTGCTGAGGGGCCTGATGGGTTATTTTCGTTCTTCGTGATCGGCGCATTTTCGCTATCGTGATCCGTTTTTCTACAGATTTTTTTTTTTTTTATATTTTCGTGATCTGTGATCATGGAAATTTATTTTCTGTGAATCGTGATTGACAAAAAAATCAACTCGTGAATAGTGATGAGACCCCCCCATCAGGCCCCTCATTGCTGAGTGACATTTTAATTTCTTTTAGATTGATGCTCCATCACCAGCAACTTTCCCTTCTATTGGATCCTATGTGAAATACACAAGTAGTGAAATTGGATTGGCTGTGAGAATAAACTTTGATTTCCGAACGCACGATCCTGATGGAATACTGTTATTTCATAAATTAGATAGTACAAAGGGTGGAGGATTTATACAGGTAATATATATCAGTGTTAGTCCTCAGGGTTTATCATAGCACTATGGTTAAATGGTATACATGTATGTTATTTAAAGCAGTCAAAAAAATATTTTCATGTTTTGTATACAGGTAACTAAACTGACAGCTTATTGCACAATTGGTCTTATAAAGACTACATTTCAGATTCTACTTGTTTTTGTCTCGCCTTGACGGAGTATAAAGCGAGACATAGGTATGCTGTTTCCGGTATCGACATCAACAATGTATTAGTTTGTGATTAGGTCTAGTTTAAGGTGAACCACTAGTGGTAGGTCAATGATATTTGGTATGCAGTTGTATAAGCATTGGCATATCTCATTTCCATGGAGATTATTTGGCCCCAGCCCCTCAGTCATGGTCTATTGACTTTGAAACTTTTTCTTGGTTTATCTCATTTCCATGGAGATTATTTGGCCCCAGCCCCTCAGTCATGGTCTATTGACTTTGAAACTTTTTCTTGGTTTTTATACGACTGCAAAAATATTTTGCAGTAGTATATTGGTATCACGTTGTCGTCGTCGTCCGAAGACTCTTGGTTTCCGGACAATAACTTAAGTGTAAATAAATAGAAATCTATGAAATTTAAACACAAGGTTTATAACCACAAAAGCAAGGTTCAGATAGATTTTGGGGGTTAAGGTCCTAACAGTTTAGGAATTAGGGGCCAAAAAGAGGCCCAAATAAGCATCTATTTAGTTTCCTGACAATAACTTGTGTTTAAGTGTATGGATCTCTCTGAAATTATACACAAGTTTCTATACCACAAAGGGATGGTTAGGATTGGCTTTGGGGGGTTATGGCTCAAACCGTTTAGGAATTAGGGGCAAAAAAGGGGGAAAAACAAGGGTTTCCTGGTTAATGTACAATTAAGACAATTTAAAAGCAGTGTAAGGTATGTAATCCAAACACAAACAATGTTTTAAATTATGTATAAAGGAATGTTGTATTGTCTTGAGGTGTTTAGCTGTCAATTTACTTAAAGAAGTTACTTTTAAATTTATGATGATTAAGGAAAATTGATTTTAGCCATGGTTATGTATGTCATTTTCTATTTTAAGACTTTTATGATGTATTTATATGGGTAATTATGGTTGCAAACTCCAATGGAAATTTGAATTGAGATTATGACCCTATCTTGAGGAAAAGAATTTTTTGTTTGGAAAAAGGGGGGGGGGGGGGGGGGTAAAAAGAAATTGTTTTTCTCATTTCAGATTTTAGAAATTAAAAAGAAAATTTCTTCATATATATAATTTTTTTTCAAAAAAATGGGGGAAAATTTTTTTTTTTAAAAGGGGGGGGGGGGGGGGGGGGGGGCGGGGGGTAAATTTTTGTTTTTGTTTTGGGGTTGTTGTTTGGAAAAGGGGGGGGGTAAAAAAGAGACATTTTTTTCTCATTACAGATTTCAGAAATTAAAAAGAAAATTTCTTCACATTTCATTTTTTTTGCAAAAAAATGAGGGGGGGGGGGGGGGGGGGGGGGGGTAAGGTGTTGTGTTTAGGTTTGTTCAAATGGAACAACTAATGATAAATCAATGGTATTTGGTATGCAGTTGTATTAGTATTGGCATATCTCATTTCCATGAAGATTGTTCAGCCCTTTACCTTAAGTCATGGTTCATAGACTTTGAATTTATGCATTACTTACATGATAAACGTATTGCTATTTTAATTTCAATACTTGCATTATCAAAATAACAAAAAGGCGAGACATATCTCTGTGTTAACAGTTTATTATGAATTATAGATATAATGTCTGTAAAGCATAGAAAACTCCATATTTATTGAAGGAATTCTGAAAAAAAATATCAGGTTGCCCTGTTGTAAAATTATAGCACTGTTTTAGATTTAGTGTACATGTACTACCTCTTCTATTTCTCTATCTTGTGGATATGCATGTATGTGAACTTTGATAGATAAGTGGAAAATGATGACATACAGGTTAAATTTGCATTTCTGTTCAATTGACTGACTTTTCCTGGAATTTAAAATTTTAGATTTGGAAAATTGAAAACTTATAATTTTTATATACTATGTATTTTCTGTTGTAGCCTGAAAAGATTTCCACAGATGTTTTACTTATTAAGTTCATTTCAATAAAATGTTAAAGAATGTATGATTTATACCTTCCAGGTGCAATTCTTGAAAGGAATAACTGGCTTTGTACAGTACAAGTTACAGACCTCAGACCAGGAATCTACTGCAGACACTATAGAAGATGTTGTTAGAAATAGTATGTAAAGCTTAACATATATTTTGACCTTTTGAGGTGGTATGGGTGTCCATGCAAATTACAGACCACTGACAGGAAATCTACAAAAATATCGTCTTACAGGAATAACGAGGGAAATTGAATATTAATATAAACATGACATTTGGAGGTTTATGATTAGGGCTATTCCATTAAAATGTATGTGGGAGGGTAGGAAGGGAAGTTTAATTATTGAATGTGGGTCATGGGTCTTTTTTCAGTATGCGTCTATTACCATCATGCAAAATTATCTAAAAAATGGATCTTGGTTGTAGGGATATTTTGAAAGTCCCTTCCTACCCTCCCACATACATTTTAATGGAATAGCCCTTACAAATAACAGCCCTTATTAGACCAGGAATGCACACAACTATATATTAAGAAAAATGTCAACTAGGAAAATGCATTTATGGTATTCATAAAGGCTTAATACACACAATGTCATTTTGATAAACGTAGATTTTTTTTAAAAGTATTTAGATGTGCAGTTATTAATGTAGAATAGCCAATGATCTTGAACATTATATATTTAAATGAAAAATTGAATTTAAATTGATTTGATGTGATCAGCAAATCATTAGTATGATTTACTGGAAGCATCTTATTATACCCCCCTCTAAAAGTGTGGGCTATATTGCAGTCACCTTGTCTGTCCATTCATTTATCTGTCTGAACATCAGACGATTATTTTTGTCACACATTTTTCTGACAGGTACTACTTACACGACTTAACAGAATGACTTCATATTTGGACAGCAGCTTCAAAGTGAAGAGTTGTAACATGTGAGCACTTTTCTGACTAGTCAGACGCCTACTTCCAGTTTTCCAATACTTTGTATTACGATTTGGGGTATGCCTAGGATGACAAAGTACATGTACTATTGTTATTATTCTTGTTAAATATTAGACTAACTATAAATATTCCTTTTTATAGTAACACTGCATATAATTGCATTACAGCTGCAGGAGATTTAACCAGTGGATTTGCAGATGGATTGTGGCACAAGTTTACACTTCTACTCAATAATGAGAAACTGAATGTAACAATAGATAGAAATTCCAAGGTCTCTATAAGAACCATGTCTATTGGAGCTGGGACTATATTCTATTTAGGTAAGTGCTGTTTAGGATAAATCAAGGCAGGGCAAGATATAGTTAGACTGCCAGATGCATTGTTTACCCCAGAAATTAATGAAAGTATCTTTGTAAATATGAATGTGTCACCAAAGCACAACATAGATTTAAACTTAATATTCACTGAGTTAAATGTGTGATGTAGTTTATAATGTGAAGAAGATTATGAATTTATTCCATTTAAAAAAACCTTTGTGAGGGCTGCATTGACCTGTATAAAAAAAAATTGAAGTATACTAGTTTTCATCTATCACAGCTTAAATTTGGAATGACTTTATACTAGAAAGATGATGTTTCTAAGACAATTTTCGAAGTACTTGCTAAACATACTATGTCCATCATAGTTAAAATATGAAAAAAATGCATACTATCATGATTTTTATTTATGTTCAAGTTAGTATGTGTATGTACATACACCAAAGGATTGCATGTTAACATAATTTTGATTTTTTTTCCTGTTTGATAAAAACAGTTGGTTGAGGAAAATGTTTTTTTTAATGACCTTTTGCATACAAGGTACAGGGTTTGCTATGCAAATGCATCAGAAAAGTTTTATTTATAAGTCATAAAAAGATATGGTGTATATTGTGTAATTGATAAAGCATAATGTATAAGTTGGTATTTTAGGTGGTGCTGGTAATATTAAAGGTAGAGTATTTGGAGGGATAATAAAGTGTGGTTTCTTTAAATCCCTTTTGTTCTCCTCTGCATTGTCTCACATGTATGATATATGTTTATATGTTGTGAAATTTCACCATGATATAATATTAATGATGATAAAACTATTAATGATGATAAGACTAATGAAGCTCCCATTTACGTTGTACTGAAAGCATTAAGCAATTCACTACATGTATTTAGGGCTTTTTTCTGGTTTTTTTCTCCTGATTTAAACTGTCTTAATAATAAACATAACAATTTGCAAAAAGGGGGAATAATTAATTTTTAAGGGCCCCATGTGAGCTTATGCCACCACTTGGCGTCCGTAGTCGTTTGTCGTCGTCCGTCGTAAACTATTTCAAGAATCTTCTCCTCTGAAAACTACTGGGCCAAATACCTTCAAACTTTAACTGAATGTTCCTTAGGGTATTTAGTTTATAAATTGTATCCGAAATTTTGGTCCAGCGACAAACATGGCCGCCATCGCTAAAAATAGAACATAGGGGTCAAATGCAGTTTTTGGCTTATATCTCAAAAACTAAAGCATTTAGAGCAAATCTGACGGGGTAAAAATGTGCAAGCTCAAGATCTATCAGCCCTGAAATTTTCAGATGAACCGAACAACCCATTGTTGGGTTGCTGCCACTAAATTGGTAATTTTAAGGAAATTTTGCAGTTTTTTTTGGTTATTATTTTGAATATTATTATAGATAGAGATAAACTGTAACAGCAATAATGTTCATCAAAGTAAGATCTACAAAAAAGTTTGATATGACCAAAATTGTCAATTGACCCCTTAAGGAGTTATTGCTCTTTAAAGACAATTTTACACAAGTTGTTCATCATGTTTGCTAACATTTAAAAATATTCTCCTCTGAAACTGCTGGGCCTAATACTTCTAAACTTAAACTGAATGTTCCTTAAGGTATCTAGTTAATAAATTGTATCCGAAATTTTGATCCATCAACAAACATGGCTGCCATGGCTAAAAATAGAACACAGGGGTCAAATGCAGTTTTTGGCTTATATCTCAAAAACTAAAGCATTTAGAGCAAATCTGACAGGGATAAATATGTTCAATAGGTCAAGATCTATCAGCCCTGAAATTTTCCGAAGAACTGAACAACCCATTGTTGGGTTGCTGCCACTAAATTGTTTATTTTAAGGAAATTTTGTAGTTTTTATATGGCCATTTACAGGACGTATTATGGTATACCATTGTCCGCCCATCTGTCTGTCCGTCTGTCTGTCCGTCATGTGGGACAATAACTCAAAAACACTTTCACGAATTTGCAAGAAACTTTGGTGAATTGTTTATACCTATTGACATGAGCTCCCTTTCGATTTTTATAAATTTTAGATTTTATGTTTCCGAGGTATGGGGTTTTATTCATTAAAAAAAGGGGGATTTTCCCGTTTTCTGACAACTCAAAAATGCTTTCAGCAGTTTTCATGCAACTTTGGTGAATTGTTTATATCTATTGACGTAAGCTCCCTTTCGATTTTTATAAATTTTAGATTTTATGTTTCCGAGTTATGGGATTTTATTCATAAAAAAGAGGTGATTTTTGAGTTTTCGGACAATATCATTAAAGTGCTTTGAGCAGTTATCATGAAACTTTGAATGACTTGTTTATATCTATTAAAAAAAAATCCTTTTGTTTTTCATGAATTTCTAATATGACATTGAGAAGTTATTGAACTTTATTCTTTGAAAAAGCGACTGGCGTATCATGTGCTCATGGCGCAGCTGTTTATTGGTTATTATCTTGAATATTATTGAAGATAAAGATAAACTGTAAACAGCAAAAATGTTCAGCGAAGTAAGATCTACAAAAAAAGTTATATGACCAAAATTGTCAATTGACCTCTTAACGGAGTTGTTGCCCTTTAAAGACAATTTTTCACAATTTGTTCATCTAGTTTGCTTGCCTTACTTTAAAAAATCTTCTCCTTTGACACTGCTGAATCAATTTCAGCCAAACTTGGACTGAATGAGTTTCAGAGTATCTAGTATAAATTTTGTATTTTATTTTCTTGTATGTCAAGAAACATAGCCACTATGGCTATAATGGAACATATGGGTAAAATGATTTTTTTTGATTTTGAAGAAAATATGACAGATACAAAAACATTTTTAGAAATGGCATTTTTAAGCCACTCATTAATATATATTGAAAAGCAAAAATAATCATTGATGAAAGATTTAAGCAAAAAATTACTGGTGAGCGATTCAGGCTTTTGAGAGCCTCTTGTTTTTATACACAGAGGTAAAAATTCTTTGGAAAAAGATGGGTTTGATGGGGTCATCAGTTCAGCAACATCATTTTTGGTTGCAAATTTTAAAGAAAGTTTAGTTTTATCTAAACCTTGGATAGGTTTGATCATCAGAAAGTGAGAAAGAGGGAACTTCTTATTTTATGGCTAGGGATTTCTGTCGTTTATTTGTAGTCTTGGAGGAGTACATGAGCTTGGTCACAAAGGTTCTTTCATTTTGTTTATACTGAGAGCATTAAAGAAACCTTTATCTTCTCTTATTTTTAACCATCCTGCCATTCTTTAGATTATCTTTCAGGCTGGTTTCTGTGTGATTTTTGCATGATTAAGGTGGGAAAATCAATATTGTAAATAAATGAATAGACAAATAATTTTTTATTTATTGGCATGCTTGTGACATCTGAAAACTAGCAAAAAATCTTACGATAAAAAATACGCGTAAGTCATGAACATTTCAGTATAGCTTATGATAATTTTTAGTTGTAATATTATTTGTGAAAAGAGCCACTGTCTATTATAGTTTGTTAATTATTTGTGCATGTATGTAAGAATAAAAGTGTATATCACTGTTTGTGAATTATTCTGTTTGCATTTTTGAAAGCTATAAATAAAATTGAAAATGGAAATGGGGAATATGTCAAAGAGAAAACAACCCGACCAAAGAGCAGATAACAGCCGAAGGCCACCAATGGATCTTCAACACAGCGAGAAAATCCTGCACCCAGAGGTGGTCCTCAGCTGGCCCCTAAATAAAATTGTGTACTGGTTCAGTGAAAATGGGCGTCACACTAAACTCTAAAACATATAACATGTAAAAAGGAACTAAAATTAAAAAAACATACAAGACTAACAAAGGCCACAGGCTCCTGACTTGGGACAGGCGCAAAAATGCGGCGGGGTTAAACATGTTTTGTGAGATCTCAACCCTCCCCCTATACCTCTAGTCAATGTAGAATAAAGAAACACATAGCAATACGCACAGTAAAACTCAGTTTAAAAGAAGTCCGATGTCAGAATAGTATGTTGAATGTTGACGTATAAAACTTTTGTAATTAGATTTTAAACAGGGAAAGTATTTTTACAAATGTAATTTTATTAACTTATTCACAAGCAAGTAAACAAATTGTAGTAAGAATCAACATGTTTAAGTATGGGGTTTTCAAGAAATAAATATAAATGAAGAATATAATCAGGTAGACAGAAAATGATAAGGTCTATTGAAAGTTGACATTTATTTATAAGTCCTTATAAAGTGACCAGATTGTCATTTCACCTCAATAATTATCAGTGTCAGAATTTTAGCTGAACTATTTTATATTTCGGACAGTACATAAAAACCAGGTTGCCTATGAAGATCTAGAGTCTATTTGATTTTATCCAGATTATTTCCAGGGTTCTCCCTTAGATGATTCCTGGAAAATTAGACTTACCCAACATTACGTTTGAAATGTCCATGATGATTTTTATATAACCTGGTAAATTTTGTAGGAGGTTACATCTAAAATGTTCATGATAATTTGATTTACCTTGGTAATTTTGTAGGAGGTTACATCTAAAATGTCCATGATAATTTGAATTACCGTGGTAATTTTGTAGGAGGTTACATCTAAAATGTCCTTGATAATTTGATTTACCTTGGTAATTTAGTCGGAGGTTACATATAAAATGTCCATGATAATTTGATTTACCTTGGTAATTTTGAAGGAGGTTACATCTAAACTGTCCATGATAATTTGAATTACCTTGGTAATTTTGTAGGAGGTTACATTTGAAGTGTCCATGATAATTTGATTTACCTTGGTAATTTTGTAGGAGGTTACATCTAAACTGTCCATGATAATTTGAATTACCTTGGTAATTTAGTTGGAGGTAACATCTAAAATGTCCATGATAATTTGATTTACCTTGGTAATTTTGTAGGAGGTAACATCTAAAATGTCCATGATAATTTGAATTACCTTGGTAATTTTGTAGGAGGTTACATCTAAAATGTCCATGATAATTTGATTTACCTTGGTAATTTTGTTGGAGGTTACATATAAAATGTCCATGATAATTTGATTTACCTTGGTAATTTTGTAGGAGGTTACATCTAAACTGTCCATGATAATTTGAATTACCTTGGTAATTTTGTAGGAGGTTACATTTGAAATGTCCATGATAATTTGATTTACCTTGGTAATTTTGTAGGAGGTTACATCTTAAATGTCCATGATAATTTGATTTACCTTACCTTGGTAATTTTGTAGGATGTTACTCATTTTATTTAACTTGGTAATTTTGTAGGATGTTACTCATTTTATTTAACCTGGTAATTTTGTAGGAGGTTACATTTTTGGTAATGGATTCAGAGGATGCATGAGAAGTGTAAGCATATCATCACAACCTGTTGATTTTGCTGCTATCTCGGAAATTAACAGACCATCTGTTTTAACAGGAAGTTGTGGATTGATTGACAGGTACAAACAACAACTTGAGTATTTAGTGTTATACTGGTAATATTACTCTGCTACTGATGGCCACAGATAGTGTCGAAAGCAAAAAACGATATCTTCTGTTGATAAAGTTTCAGCTTGAGTGATGTTGCTTGAAGGAGACAATTTTGAAATATTCAGTTAAAAATGAAGTATCCAGTCACAGAATGATGTTGATTTTTTTAGTCCCCTACCGACGAAGTCGAAGGGAACTTTAGGTTTGCACTCTGTCCATCCCTCAGTCCGGCAAATCAGTTTTCCACACTATTTTTCTTCATGCTTTAAGATGTTGATTTGATTTTTGATGTATTGTTTTATCATGACAAGTTACAGATCAAGTTCAAATTTTGTTCCGGTCTGATGATTTTGTGCAGAGTTATGGTCCTTTGAATTAGAAAAATCACTAAAATAATCAGTTTTCCGCACTTTTTTTGGTCATTCTTGAAGATATTGATTTGAAAATTGGTATATAGTTTTATCATGACAAGTTACAGATCAAGATAGAAATTTGTTCCGGTCTGATGATTTTGTACAGAGTTATGGTCCTTGGACTTAAAAAATTCACTTATATAATCAGTTTTCAACACTTTTTTTCGTCATGCTTGAAGATATTGACTTGATATTTGTTATATAGTTTACACCATGACAAGTTATAGATCAAGTTAGAATATTGTTCAATTGCAATGAATTTTTAACCGGTAGGGGACTTTGTATTGCCATGCAATACTCACAGAATGCTTGTTTTTATAAGATTTGGCATGTACATAAAACTGGAATAGCTTAAAGCTGTAAAGTTCAGTCAGTAAAACATTACATGACTAATTATGACAAAGTCAAACCTAATGACACAGTAGCAATAATTTTAAAGGCATGAATATTCATTTGAGGGGTCTTTGTAGTCCAATTATTGTATCACTAGCCTATCAACAATGAGGTTGTGAGTTCGACTCTAATCTGAATTGACTTAGGATTGTCAGTTTTCCTGCTTAAGGTCGTCGTTTTTCTTCGGGCACTCCAGCTTCCTCCACCAATAAAAACTGACCACCACAAAAAAGCCAATAGTGCTGTAAGTGGCAATAAACACCAATAAATCAATCAAACTATATATCAATTTGAATTTAGCATTAAGTACTATTCTTTTGTAGTTGTATAACTTCCATTAATTATTTGATTTAAGTTGGTAATCCAATCGATTTTCAAAACAAAAATAAATTAATGGAGCATAGCTATGGTTCCAACATACATTTTGGACATGCATGCAACAAAAATAGAGAAGAGTGTAGTAAACTATGAGAAAACATATTCAAAGATTAAATTTTAAACCATTTCTATGAAAGTTTCATGCGAAAAATCTATGTGTGTTTAAAAATTTACTGTTAAAATTACATATCATGGAAAAGGTCTTTGGTTTTTATGTATGAATGTATTTTGTAGATGTACCCCCAATCCATGTGAACATTATGGTGTATGTACACAGACATGGGATAGTTTTGTATGTGACTGCAGTAATACAGGATACAAAGGGGAAGTTTGTCATGTTTGTAAGTATGAACAAACTTGTATTTATTCTTGTTTTTTAACAGAAACAGCCTGATATGTAATTACTTAAGGCAATATCAGAAAAAAGTGCTCCCCCCCTCCCACCATCTCCCTTATGGGAAGGCACTTTTAATTTACCCCAACCACCCACAGAAATTTATTGAAATTTAAAACAACCACTTATGAAATTTGAATTGTGTTCAGACCAACAACTCATTGAAAAAAAAGAGATATATTGATATTAAACCTGTAGATTACCAAACATAAAGATGCAGATAAGGACATTAAATGCAGAAACTTGTGTCAGACAATTAATTTAACATGACTTTTAAAATGTTCTACTTTTGTTTCAGTAGATCATGTTTATTCTTCTCAATTTTTATGCCCCACCTACGATAGTAGTAGGGGCATTATGTTTTCTGGTCTGTGCGTCCGTTTGTCCGTCCGTCTGTCCGTCTGTCCTGCTTCAGGGTAAAGTTTTTGGTCAAGGTAGTTTTTGATGAAGTTGAAGTCCAATCAACTTGAAACTTAGTGCACATGTTCCCTATGATATTATCTTTCTAATTTTAATGCCTAATTAGAGTTTTGACCCCAATATCACGGTCCACTGAACATAGAAAATGATAGTGTGAGTGGGGCATCTGTGTACTATGTACACTTTCTTGTTTCTTCTTTAAATTATTATAATAAAATTAGACAGATCATACCAGTTATTTACTACTGTGTTCAAATTATGCCATTTATATAGTGTGCATCCCATGCCCTTTTTTCCAAAGGCCTTGTCTCTTGTAATAAACCACCCTTCCTTTTTTACATCAACAGAATTTACAGTTATTGACCAATAATTTACTTCAGGTTTTGTGGTAAATTTAAAGACTTGGCCAAATTTAATTTGGAAACTTTAATTGTATTGTATGACAGCTTGGTACACCCTACTATTGCCAAATATTTGATTTGGAAACTTTAATTGTTTTGTATGACAGCTTGGTACACCCCACTACTGCCAAATATTTAATTTGGAAACTTTAATTGTATTGTATGACAGCTTGGTACACCCTACTATTGCCAAATATTTGATTTGGAAACTTTAATTGTATTCTATGACAGCTTGGTACACCCCACTACTGCCAAATATTTGGTTTGGAAACTTTAATTGTTTTGTATGACAGCTTGGTACACCCGACTACTGCCAAATATTTGATTTGGAAACTTTAATTGTTTTGTATGACAGCTTGGTACACCCCACTATTGCCAAATATTTGATTTGGAAACTTTAATTGTTTTGTATGACAGCTTGGTACACCCCACTATTGCCAAATATTTGGTTTGGAAACTTTAATTGTTTTGTATGACAGCTTGGTATAGACTACACGAAATTCGTCGGACCGTCGGACAAACCTGGTGAATAATGGATTGATCTGGTAAAATTTTGATGAATTCCAGTCCGAATGTCCGGTGTTGTTTTTTTCATGGATTTTTCTAAAAACCCTACATTTTTCCCAATTTTGGGAGCAAAATTCCCAAACGATCTCAAAATTCGTTTTCATCTTTATTATTCATGACAGCAATGTTTATTTTGTTCAACCGTTAGCTTTATGCCAAAAATCGCCAACAAGTAATGTGTAAATCTGAGTAAAAACATATCTGACTGACAAAACAACAATGGCTGCCATCAACCGGAAATATAGACAATACCGGATCAGATTCCGAGAACAGATAAGGCCAATTCGGGTTTGCAGACCAAATACAATAGATAAATAAAAAAAAAAACCAAGCAGGTTCACAAAATACAGCTATGAAATATAAACACTAGAATTCAAAAACCAAAAGATATATGAAAAAGAAAGAAGATACAGGAAATATTTTTTACAGAAACTCTAAATTATATTTAGTTCACAAATAATTTTCATTTCAAAATCCAATAAAATGTCACATTACTTTTCTTCATCACTGAAATGCTTTCAAGCAATTGTGCACAACTTTCATCAAAATATACACTTTTGTCACATAATTTTGTTTTTGTGCATTTTGGAGAGGAGTAGGGCACAACAAGTCGTAAGTTTTTTGTATTTCGTCGGATAATATACAATTAGATGTAAACAAAAAATTGGTCTGGTAAAATTTCATTCGGTCTGGTAAAGCTAGGTTGTTTACCAGACCGAATGTCCTGTAAAAATTAAATTCATTCGTGTAGTCTGTTGGTAGTTAACCCCACTACTGCCAAAATGAGTTTTCTAAATAACAATAACCACTTCATTTTTTCCTGATTTTCAATAGCTTTCCTGTTAAAATTCTTGTTTTAAAAAAAAAAATTATAGCCTGGCAATTTGTTTTTCTTTTCAGCTGCATATTATTTATCATGTGAAATGTTTAAGATGTACAGTAATGACGACGGATTAGTGAATACACACATTGATCCAGATGGTTCTGGTCCATTGCCTCCTTTCCCAGTAGGATGTGATGGAAAAAGTAAGAGGAGTGTAGAATGAGTTTTTGCTGAATGTATAAATTCTAGTTGTAAAATTGTGTAATATTTTCAAAAGCAAACACCATGCATTTTGATTGGCTAATGACTTAACTTACTTACACTATGTATCTTCCCAATTGCAATGATGTGAGGAATTCTCAGTTAGATACAGTATATGAGAAGTGAAAAATATAATACATGTGTTTTTTTTTTTAGATTTTTAAATGAAGAATTTTTACCTGATACATGTATGAAGTCGGCATGTTAAAATATTGTAATGATAAGCATGAAATATAATTGCTTCTCACATCTGTAGTCATGCAGCTTAGATTAGATTAAAAAGTTCAAACTTGTATCTGATCTGGTTGGTTTTTCAATGTGACAACATTTGCTGGCATATGTGTAACCAATGTTCAGCATAATGTAGATTAATATTACAAGTTAAGGGGCTACAGAACACCTAAGGGAGTTAATTCTTTTAAAATCAACTGAATGCTTGAATCACAAACTATTAGTTTAGAGAAATCAAGCTTCTCAATGATCTAAATTAATGTTTGTCAAACTATGTATCCAATGAAATTATTCCTGTAAATTGTGTGGTTCAAATTTCTTGAAATCTTTATATTTATGTCATGTATGTCAACAGGTCAAAGTTAATATTTATGAATTAAACGAGCCAATCTTTTTTCAAATGATTTTAGTCAAAGTGTTGGGGTACCCCCTTAAGTACAGCTAATTGAAAGCAGACATGTTATTTTAAAGAAAGACAATAAGAAATTCCAGGTTTTCTTACACCTATGCAAGATCCACTTATTTTTCTGAACAAATGTCTATTGAAATAGAACTTACTCTATAATTGAGGTCATATATATTGTGGTCAGAAACATTGAAATGAAATAAATGTTTATTATATCTTTCACAGAGGAAAGAGGAAAAATAGTAAAGACAGTAGTCTACCATGATGCCATGGAGCAAACAACAGTCGATGGCTTCCAATCACCAAACTTTTATAAGAAGGTCATACAGTATTCTGGTGATATTGAATCACTGACAAATATTATCGAAAGATCAGCTTCCTGTTACCAGAACTTAGAATACAGATGTAACAATTCTAGACTTCTTGGGGAAGCAGGTGAGATACTATATATTTCATATGAATTTAAGTAGATGTGGGGTTTATCTCAATTAGAAAGCAACCTAATGACACATATAAATAATACATGTCTAGAGGTCAAGGTCAAGTTATCAACAACATTATGTCATGCTCTTAAATGGACTTGAGTCTAGAAAAGTTGTGAATGATTCATCGTTTCTCAATCTAATGCATTCTGGGTAATATTATGAATGTGCCTGTCCAAAATCATGTCGCATTACTGAAAGTCTACTTTATACAAGGGACATGCAATTGAATAAACAAAGGGTACAGATTTGAGTTTCATGACATCACATGACACAGATCTGAGGAAAGGACATCAGTTTGAGGCTGGACAAAAGGCAAAAGATTTGAGTGTCATGATGTAATGGGACATAGATTTGAGGAAGTTCATGGATTTGAATTTTTCATATATGTATATATATATATACCGTAGAAAGGCTTGTATAGTTCGCAGTGGTACATAGTCCGCACCCCCTTCTCCCCACGAAATTTTAGGTAAAAAAACTTTTTGTAACTGTTAGAAAAGGTCTAATGAAACTCCAGTAATTTCAAATCCTGTGCGGTCGTTTGCGGTATTTTCTTGGAAAAACCTGTTTTCCATCATCAAACAGAAGCTGAAACTGCTTGTTAATGATTCTAGAACGCTTCATGATTGTTAAAATAAGTTTAATTTACTTAATAAACAATTTAGAAACTTGTGTATGTTTAAACAGGAAGTTTAAAAAGCACGTGTAAAAGAAGAAATTAACCGGTGAGAGTCGAAATCCGTACATAACAGATATCACTATAATACGACTTTGAAAGTAAAACAGTTCCATCCTTTTGTAAAACAGTCTTTAATATATCTATCACATTAATGTTTGAAGGGTCTTAAGCTAATACAAACCATATTAGTCAGTATGAAACACCAAAACGGAACGAACAATAACCGATTTCGTTTTGTAGTTTACAAATTCTAAGCTGGTTTACGGTTGTCTTTTTCACTATGTTTGTATCGTTTCAATCGAGCAGATACCAGTTTATTTCAACCAATGCATTGAAAAGAAACGAGAAATTTGTAATGAAAGGTTTAGTTTTTATATTTATCAGTATTAATTTGATATTGAATAGAAATAACTTATTAATATGGATGAGTTAAAATTATTAGTTTGAAAAATGATAAGAGCGCCCTCTACAATAGAAATAACAAAGATGGCGGAACGTAAACAAACCACCTCGACCACGAAATTGAAATTTTTCTCTTATTTCTTGCTTATTGTACTCTATAGTCCGCACCCCGTCTGGAAGGTCCAATTTTGGAGAATAAAACTGCGGACTATACAAGCCTTTCTACGGTACATATGCATTACTCGACTTACTAAAGCTATATTTTTATATAGTCTAGTTGGTAAAGTGGTCTATAAGGGCACATGACACAGAGCAGGCAGTTTTGCCATTTCAGAAGCAGAGTTCGAATTTATTAGTCCCCTACCGAAGAAGTCGAAGGGGACTTTAGGTTTGCACTCCGTCCGTCTGTCCGTCTGTCCATCCATCAGTCCGGCAAATCAACTTTCCACACTTTTTTTCTTCATTCTTGAAGATACTGATTTGATATTTGGTATATAGTTTTATCATGACAAGTTATAGATCAAGTTCGAATTTTGTTCCGGTCTGATGATTTAGTCCAGAGTTATGGACCACGACTCTGGACCATATCTAATGTTAGAGTACTATGTTAAACCATATTTCTGTACAAAGGGAGATAACTCATTTTTTAAAATACATTCCTTGTTAAATTATTTGAAGAATTTTTTGGCAGGTTTGTTTGTTATTTAGTATAAACTAATTTTCTGAATGCTATATATATATAAAAAAAATATGAAGAGAAATCCTTTATTTAGATAATAATCTATTTTTATTAATGTATATATTTCAATACATAACATTGTGTAGATAAAGTTGTTGACATTTTATAGATAAGTTACAAATTTATATTAGTTTGTGACAGATGAAAGAAAAAATATTTGGAACTATTAATTATATTTGATTATAATTTGAAAATAGATATACACTGTATTACATCATATCTAATTTTAGAGAACTATTAATCACATCTAATGTTTTTTTTCACTCATATAATCAGTTTTCCACACTGTTTTTAGTCATGCTTGTTGTTTTACATCTTTATTTTCAGCAACTAATGCTGATTATTTTGCATGGTGGGTAGGAAGGACCAACCAGCCCATGTATTATTGGGGAGGTGCTGCCCCAGGGTCAAATAAATGTTTTTGTGGTCTGCAGGAGAAAGGCTGCACTGGGCAAAAAACAACATGCAACTGTGATGCTCAGACAATGAATGAGTTTGACGGTGGAAATATTGTACATAAGGATTACCTCCCCATTATGGAGTTATATTTTGGTGATACTGGTACTCTAATGGATGATAAGATCGGGAAATATAAAGTTGGAGAATTAAGTTGTGAAGGAGATTGTAAGTAGATTTATGTTTGAGTGATAATAATTAATGAGATGGCTTATTTTCATGCGTTTCACGAATAATGATAAATGTTGTGTAGAGTTGTAGACCAAACAAAGAAATAAAAATTGCATTACTACAAGCAAATGAGAGAAAGAGGAAATGACATTTTATGGAAAATGTTCTCATAGAAAATATGTACCATATTTTATTCTCAGCCATTTGCAAAAACTAACCAAGCAGCAGATACAGATTATTGATGACCAGAGTCTATATTTGAATGTTGATAACAAGGGATATATGTATAAACAGAACTGAGCTGTCAAAGGAATGATCCTTTTGTTTTCAGCATATAATATGTTATTCAGGTCTCAGACAGAGTATATAATGTGACATTCCCAGCTTAGATTTTATATTCCCTGTGCCGAAGGGGAAGGGATTATAAACCCTAAGCCGGGAATGTCACATTATATACCCTGTCTGAAACCTGAATTACAAATATATTACAGATTACCTTGCCTTAATGTTTTTTCCAGTAACAGATATTCGTTAAACATTCACCATGCAGTATATATATTCAGTATATGTTTATTGTTTTTAAGATTTTGAGTAATTCTTTTAAATGCAAGTTTTTCATCTTGACAGATATTTTTTTTATTGTTAAGAATATTTTTATGCTCCCGCCGTAGGGGTGGGGGCATTAAGTTTTACCCTTGTCTGTCTGTATGTACGTACGTAGGTATGTCCCAAAATTGGTTTCTGTTCTCCAACTTGAGTTTGCCTCAACCTAATGTTATGAAACTTATACACAATGCTTATTACCACAAAACACAGATCAAGTTTGAAATTGGGTGCCGTTGTTGAGGTTTCAATTGGGACAAAACATATACTCCGGCAGTTTCCTGATTATATACTGACATCTCTGTGTTGTTATCTAATCACAAAACTTGATACATTTGTAATGCATAATATATGTAAATGTAAGTGCATTTTGTTTCAGTTCATGAAATACTCCTTTATTAGTCCCCTACCGAAGAAGTCGAAGGGGACTTTAGGTTTGCACTCCTTCCGTCTGTCGGTCTGTTCTCAGTTTTCCACACTTTTTTTCTTCATGCTTGAAGATATTGATTTGATATTTGGTGTATTGTTTTATCATGACAAGTTACAGATCAAAATCGAATTTTGTTCCGGTCTGATGATTTTTAGCTCACCGGGGCCCCATGTGAGCTTATGTCATCACTTGGCGTCCGTCATCATCTGTTGTCGTCGTCTGTCGTTTGCTAACATTTAAAAATCTTCTCCTCTGAAACTACTGGGCCAATTACCTTCAAACTTTAACTAAATGTCCCTTTGGGTATCTAATTTATAAATTGTATCCGAAGTTTGGATCCATCGACAATCATGGCCGCCACGGCTAAAAATAGAACATAAGGGTCAAATGCAGTTTTTGGCTTATATCTCAAAAACTAAATCTTTTAGAGCAAATGTGACGAGGTAAAATTGTTAAATTGGTCAAGATCTATTGGCCCTGAAATTTTCAGACGAATCTAACAACCCATTATTGGGTTGCTGCCACCGAATTGGTAGTTTTAACAAAATTTAGCAATTTTTTGTTATTATTTTGAATATTATTATAGATATATATAAACTGTAAGCAGCAATAATGTTCAGCAAAGTAAGATCTACAAAAAAGTTAATATGACCAAAATTGTCAATTGACCCCTTAAGGAGTTATTGCCCTTTAAAGACAATTTTACACAATTTGTTCATCAAGTTTGCTAAGATTTAAAAATCTTCTCCTATGAAATACAGGTGAACGATTCAGGCTCTTGAGAGCCTCTTGTTTGTAGAGTTATGGTCTTAGAAAATTCACTAAAATAATCAGTTTTCCGCACTTTTTATGCCCCCGCCGTAGCGGAGGGGGCATTAAGTTTTACCCTTGTCCGTCTGTACGTACGTACATCCCAAAGTTGGTTTCTGTTCTCTAACTTTAGTTTGCCTCAACCAAATGTTATGAAACTTATACACAATGCTATGTACCACATAACACAGATCAAGTTTGAAATTGGGTGCCGTCATGATAATGGTTTTTGAGTTATGCCCCTTTATAAACATAAAAATTGCTGAATTTTTCATTTCCGTTCACTAACTTTAGTTTGCCTCAACAAAATAATATGAAACTTTTACACAAAGCTTATTACCACTTAATACAGATCAAGTTTTAAATTGGTTGGTGTCACTTTTACTGTTCTTGAGTTATGCCCCTTTATAAACATAAAAATTGCTGAATTTTTCATTTCCGTTCACTTACTTTAGTTTGCCTCAACCAAATGTTATGAAACTTATACACAATGCTTATTACCACAAAACTCAGATCAAGTACAAATTTGGGTAGCATCACTTTTACCTTTCTTCAGTAATGTCCCTTTATATCTTTATATGATATGCAAGCAGGGGCATCATCTGTGTCCCATGGACACATTCCACATTTTTTTTGTCATTCTTGAAGATATTGATTTGATAATTGGTATATAGTTTTATCATGACAAGTTACAGATCAAGTTCGAATTTTGTTCCGCACTGATGATTTTGTTCAGAGATATGTCATTGGACTTAGAAAATTCACTTAAATAATCAGTTTTCAACTCTTTTTTTTCATCATGCTTGAAGATATTGACTTGATATTTGTTATATAGTTTACACCATGACAAGTTATAGATCAAGTTAGAATTTTTTTCCAATACAATGAATTTTTAACCGGTAGGGGACTGTATTGCAATGCAATACTCACAGAATGCTTGTTTATCTTTATTTGTTTATCAACATCCACAATGTTAATTACATGCAATAACTTCTTAAGTTAAAGAATAATATTCATCTATAAAACGCATAAATTTGTATATTTCCAGCTGTGTTGGACAGTATTGTAACATTCCGTAAGGCTGATGCGACCATTAAGATCGACACATGGGAAGCAGATCCTGCAGGGGATATCTGGTTCCAATTTAAGACTACTACCACTGATGGAACTATCTTACATAACATAGGGGATCCGGATTACATCAAGGTTGCCTTGTTCAGTAAGTGCATATTCAATCATGTTAAGGAAGTATGAAATAGTTTTTTTATTAATGGAAAAAAGGATATAGAGTCAGGGTTGGCAAAGTATTACCCGGGCGGGAAAACCGGGCTGGGCAATACTCCCAGAAACGGGAAAACTGGGCAATACTGGGCAATATGATTTTTGTCACAGAAAGCTTGACATAGGTATAGTTATCTGGTGGCGGTGGTGGCATTAACTAACTTCTTAAAAGCTTTATATTTTAGAAGGTGGAAGACCTGGATGCTTCATACTTTGGATATAGATGCCTTATGTTACGAAGTTTCCGTCTGTCACATGTACATTGTCCTTGACCTCATTTTCATGGTTCAGTGACTACTTGAAAAAAAAGTTAAGATTTTTTGTAATGTTAATTTCTCTCTTATTATGAGTAATAGGATAACTATATTTGGTATGTGTGTACCTTGCAAGGTCCTCATGCCTGTCAGACAGTTTTCACTTGACCTCGACCTCATTTCATGGATCAGTGAACAAGGTTAAGTTTTGGTGGTCAAGTCCATTTCTCGAATACTATAAGCAATAGGTCTAGTATATTTGGTGTATTGAAGGATTGTAAGGTGTACATGTCCAACTGGCAGATGTCATCTGACCTTGACCTCATTTTCATGATTCAGTGGTTATAGTAAAGTTTTTGTGTTTTGGTCTGTTTTTCTTTTACTGTATGCAATAGGTCTACTATATTTGGTGTATGGAATGATTGTAATGTGTACATGTCCAACTGGCAGGTGTCATCTGACCTTGACCTCATTTTCATGGTTCAGTGGTCAAAGTTAAGTTTTTGTGTTTTGGTCTTTTTTCTAATACTATATGCAAAAGGTCAACTATATTTGGTGTATGGAAATATTTTATGATGCACATGTCAGTCTCGCAGGCTTTATTTGACCTTGACCTCATTTTAACGGTTCATTGCTCAGTGTTTAGTTTTTGTGTTTTGGTCTGTTTTTCTTAAACTATAAGCAATAGGTCAACTGTATTTTTTGTATAGAAGGATTGTAAGCTGTATATGTCTGTCTGGCAGGTATCATCTGACCTTGACCTCATTTTGTTGGTTCATTGGTCAATGTTAAGTTTTCATGGTTAAGTTTGTTTCTTAGGTACTATAAGCAATAGGTCAACTATATTTAATGCATAGGTTGATTGTAAGGTGTACATGTCTGCCTGGCATGGTTCATCTGACCTTGACCTCATTTTCATGGTTCATTGGTCAATGTTTAGTTTTCTTTGTTGAGTCTGTTTATAAGAAACTATAAGCAGTAGGTCAACTATAGTTAGTGTATTGAATGATTGTAAGGTTGATAGTTGTAGTAAAGCTTTATATTTAGGACTATCAACATAATATCAATGGTTAGTAAAGAAGGCGAGACATTTCGGCGTGTTCACTCTTGTTGGTTAAAGTTTTTGGTCAAGGTAGTTTTTTGATGAAGTTGAAGTCCAATCAATTTGAATCTTAGTACACATGTTCCCTATGATATGATCTTTCTAATTTTAATGCCAAATTAGAGTCTTGACCCCAATTTCATGGTCCACTAAACATAGAAAATGATAGTGCGAGTAGGGCATCCACGAAAATACAGGCATTCCTCAATCCACGAATATTGGTACCCACGAAAATAATCGAATCCACAGTACCACAAAATACAGATCAAGTTTGAATTTGGGTAGCGTCACTTTTACTGTTCTAGAGTTATACTCCTTTACAAATGGAAAATTGCTGAATTTTTCATTTCGGTTCTCTAACTTAAGATTGCCTCAACCAAATGTTATAAAATTTATACACAATACTTATTACCACAAAACTCAGATCAAGTACAAATATGGGTAGCGTCACTTTTACCTTTCTTCAGTTATGTCCCTTTATAACTTTATATGATATGCAAGCGGGGGCATCATTTGTGTCCCATGGACACATTCCCCATTTATTTATGAATGAGTTACACCTGTTGACGAGAGGTCAATCTGCATAAAAGTCATCAATGAACAATAACTGTGACTTTATAACATTTAAGAATTGTGACATAGGAAATGTACAGGAAAAGGTACAAATTTGAAAGTCGTCTACATATTTATTAAAGAAAATTAAATAAAATTTTGTTAAGGAAGTCCAGTGTTACTTACTAGATGCTAAATTTATTTCTTAATAATTTCAGATGGTGACACAATACAGTTCAGTTATGACACAGGAAATGGTGCAAAGGTTGTTGATTTCAAGACAACAAATGCCCTCAATGATGACCAGTGGCATACAGTTCATGTGGAAAAGAACAGGAAACAGGCATGGTTACGTGTCGACAATTTCCCAGAAAAATACATAACAGAATCTTCTGACGAAATGTCTAGAACGCTTGATCTAAAGGAAGGACTTGTCATAGGTAAACCCTAACATGATTTCCCCTGGGGCAATTTTATTTTATCGCCAATCCTTACATCAAAACAAATTTTTATGCCCCCGATGTAGCGGAGGGAGTATTAAGCTTTACCCTTGTCAGTCTGTACATCCTTACGTCCGTACGTCCCACAAATTAGTTTCTGTTCTCTAACTTTAGTTTGCCTCAACCAAATGTGATGAAACTTAAACAATACTTATTACCACTAAACACAGATCAAGTTTGCATTTTGGTGGCCTCACTTTTACTGTCCTAGAGTTATGCCCCTTTTCAAATGGAAAATTTGCTTAATTTTTTGTTTCCGTTCTCTAACTTAAGTTTGCTTCAACCAAATGTTATGAAACTTATACACAATGCTTATTACCAAAAAACACAGATCAAGTACGAATTTGGGTAGCGTCACTTTTACCTTTCTAGAGTTATGTCCCTTTAAAAATGGAAAAGTTGCTGACTTTTTTTGTTTCAGTTCTCTAACTTTACTTTGCCTCAACCAAATGTTATGAATCTTTCATACAATGCTTATTACCACAAAACACAGATCAAGTTCGAATTTTGGTGGCGTCATTTTTACTGTTCAAGAGTTATGCCCCTTTACAAATGGACAAATTGCTGAATTTTCGTTTCTGTTCTCTAATTAAAGTTTGCCTCAACCAAATGTTATGAAACTTATATGTCCCTTTATAACGTTATATGCAAGCAGGGGCATCATCTGTGTCACATGGACACATTCTCCATTTATTTTTCATCACTTTCATTTTTTTTCACCAAATTATTTTACTCTTTGCAAACAAGGTAAACACTGAATAGACCACTTTCGAGTTCGTCAAAAAGTTCGGTTTTAACATTATTTGTGCGTTTAGGGGCATCGTCACTTCCTTCCCACGTTGAGCGAGCAGTTGAAAAAATATGATGCTATATTGCACGAATAATTCGGCAAATTAACTTATAATTGATAATCAGCGCTGCTGTCATTAGGGAATTGTGATTAAGTACCTTCGGAACAAAGATTATTTCTAAATTATCCTGCATTTTGACGATCTCGAAGATGATCTTTAATAGTGCAGGGATACAGGCGGCCCCTCTTTCTGGTAAATGTAGTCATAAATGCGTGCATAATTGACGACGTTTTCTGATGAAGGACATCACTCGAAAGTGGTCTAGATCTATTAGAACAAAAATTTATATTTACATTTATGAATTCTGTAAAATATAACTTTCCTACTGTGCCCTTTTCATGGTTATTGGAGTATCCTTTGGACCTAATGTGGACCAATTTGAAAACTGGCCCAAAATCAAAAACCTAAATACACGGTTAGATTCAGCATATCAAAGAACCTCTAGAATTCAATTTTTGTTGAAATCAAACTAAGTGTAATTTTGGACCCGTTCGACCTTAATGTGGACCAATTCGAAAATTGGGACCAAAATCCAAAATCTAAATACATGGTTGGATTCGGCATATCAAAGAAACCCAAGAATTCAATTTTTTGTCTCGCCTTAACAGAGTCAAAAAGCGAGACATACGTATGCTGTTTCCGGCGTTGGTGTTAACAATGTATGAGTTTGTGATAAGGTTTAGTTTATGGTGAACCAATATAGCTAGTGGTAGGTCAATGATATTTTGTATTAGCATTGGCACATCTCATTACCATGGAGATTATTTGGCCCTGGCCCCCTCAGTAATGGTATATTGACTTTGAAACTTTGCTTAGTTTACATGTATTAGTTTGTGATTAGGTCAGTTTATGGGGAACCAATATAGCTAGTGGTAGGTCAATGATATTTGGTATGCAGTTGTATTAGCATTGGCACATCTCATTACCATGGAGATTATTTGGCCCTGGCCCCCTGAGTCATGGTATATTGACTTTGAAACTTTTGCTTAGGTTTCATGTACTGTAAATTCAGAAATTAATGTGAGGTTTTCATTAGTGCGAATAATACGACTGAGTTAGAATTGCAATAAGAAGAACTCGCATTCTGATATCTGACAGATGTATCTGTATGCAGCTTTTCCACAAATCGCAATAATTAATCTCACATTTGTGTCCATTCCCCATAAAATCGCAATAATAAATGCACACAATAATTTCCTAATTTACAGTATTAGTTTGTGATTAGGTCAGTTTAAGGGGAACAGTTCATGGAAGATCAATTGATAATTAGTATGCAGTTGTATAAGCAATAGCACATCTCATTTCCATGCAGAATATTTGGTCCTTACCCCTCAGTCATGGTCTATTGACTTTGAAACTTTCCTTAGTTTACATGTATTAGTTTGTGATTAGGTCAGTTTAAGATGAACCACTAATGCTAAGTCAATGATATTTGGTATGCAAATGTATTGGCATTGGCATTTGCAAGTTTCATTTCCATGGAGATTATATAACCCCACACCCTCATTATGGTACTTTGACTTTGAAACTTTTACATAGTTTACAAAGTTAATGTTTGTGTTTAGGTTTGTTAAAAGGGAACAACTTATGAAAAGTCAATGGTATTTGGTATGCAGTTGTATTAGCATTGGCACATCTCATTTCCATGGAGATTGTTTAGCCCTGTATCTTCAGTCATGGTTTATTGACTTTGAATATTTGCATAACTTACATGTTAAATTATTGCTATTTTAATTTTAACATTTGTCTTATCAAAATAACAAATAGGCGAGACATATCTCTGTGTTAACAGTTTATGTTAAAATCAAACAAAGTTTAATTTTGAACCTTTGGACCTTTAATAAATGTAGACCAATTTGAAAACTGGCCCCAAAATTAAAAATCTAAATACACAGTTAGATTTGGCATATCAAAGAACCCCAAGAATTCAAGACTTTGAATTTAACCCCATTGAAATTGGTCAAGAAATAAGCAATTCATACAAATTATTAGAAAAGTATTGTTTTTTTGCCCCTTATTCCTAAACGGTTAGGGCCATAACCCCAAAAATAAGTCCATACCTACCTTTTTTGTAATGAAACCTTGTTGTACAATTTCATAGAGATCCATAGACTTATACTCAAGTTATTGTCTGAAAACCAGAAAATCCTTGTATTTTGGCCCCAAATTCCTATATGGTTTGGACCATAACCTCTAAAATCAATCACAACCTTCATTTTGAGGTATGGAACCTTGTGGTACAATTACATAGAGATCCATACACTTAAACACAATTTATTGTCCTGAAACAAGAAAAATGCTTGTTTTTGGCCCCTAATACTTAAACAGTTTGAACAATTACCCCCAAAATCAATCCCAACCTTCCTTTTGTGGTATGTAACCATGTGGTACAATTTCATAGAGATCCATACACTTATACTCAAGTTGTTGTCTGTAAACTAAATGTATTCCGACAAAGATAACGTCATACCATTATACGACTGCAAAATTTTGTGGTCGTACAAAAAGTCAGAGAGTTCCAAAAATATAATCGAGATGGACGATGTCCAACTACTATAATTCTTTCGCAAAAAAACTTTCACCATTATTTTTTTTCATAACAATTTTAATATTTGTCGCAAAATGCAAAGATAGCAGTGGAAACCCTGTCCTATTATTAACCTTTAATTAAATATAGCTGAAACTTGACACAATAAAGATTGAATCCTCTGTGGGCTACAATTGACAGATAGTCTCCATTGTATTGTTGCCTTTCATCAATTATTATATAAGTTTAAACTTTTACTCATTCCTTTTGCCAAGTTGCTTGCATTATTGTAATTTGTTTATAAAGAATAAAACTTACTGAAATGCTAAGCATTTAAGATATTCATGATATTGGTGATTTCATTAAATATTGTTTTAAGAAATTATATGACAGTGGAGTTAAACACTAGTGACTACCTTTGCTTTTATGTTGAGTTATGCTTATAAATATTTTTTTTCAGGTGCCACTGTTGAATTCAAAGCAGGATATGTTGGATGCTTAAGAGGCTTGAGAGTAAATGGGGTTTTAGTGGACCTAAGGGGCCTAATCCAGCGTGGACAAGTATCTTATGGTGTTACTGAGGGGTGTATTGGTAAATGTAGCAGTAATCCTTGCTTTAATGGTGGTACCTGTATCGAAGGATACTCTGGCTACACATGTGACTGTTCCTACACTCCATGGAGAGGATGGATGTGTGGTAGAGGTATGTAAATGTATATATTACAGAAAAACTTGATCATAACCAATTTCTGGGGACCATTGGTAAAACTTATATTACCGTAGAAAGGCTTGTATAGTTCGCAGTTGTACATAGTCCGCACCCCCTTCTCCCCACGAAATTTTAGGTAAAAAAACTTTTTGTAACTGTTAGAAAAGGTCTAATGAAACTCCGGTAATTTCAAATCCTGTGCGGTCCTTTTGCAGAATTTTCTTGGAAGAACCTGTTTTCCATCATCAAACAGAAGCTGAAACTGCTTGTAAATGATTCTAGAACGCTTCATGATTGTTAAAATAAGTTTAATTCACTTAAAAAACAATTTAGAAACTTGTGTATGTTTAAACAGGAAGTTTAAAAAGCATGTGTAAAAGAAGAAATTAACCGGTGAGAGTCGAAATCCGTACATAACAGATATCACTATAATACGACTTTGAAAGTAAAACAGTTCCATCCTTTTGTAAAACAGTCTTTAATATATCTATCACATTAATGTTTGAAGGGTCTTAAGCTAATACAAACCATATTAGTCAGTATGAAACACCAAAACGGAACGAACAATAACCGATTACGTTTTGTAGTTTACAAATTCTAAGCTGATTTACGGTTGTCTTTTTCACTATGTTTGTATCGTTTCAATCAAGCAGATACCAGTTTATTTCAACCAATGCATTGAAAAGAAACATGAAATTTGTAATGAAAGGTTTAGTTTTTATTTTTTTCAATATTAATTTGATATTGAATAGAAATAACTTATTAATATGGATGAGTTAAAGTTATTCGTTTAAAAAATGATAAGAGCGCCCTCTACAATAGAAATAACAAAGATGGCAGAACGTAAACAAACCACCTCACCCGCGAAATTGAAATTTTTCTCTTATTTCTTGCTTATTGTACTCTATAGTCCGCACCCCTTCTGGAAGGTCCAATTTTGGAGAATAAAACCGCGGACTATACAAGCCTTTCTACGGTAGCTATAAACATAATTCGTTATATTGATATAACAAAATTCGTTATACAATATAACAGATTTGTTTTAAGGGGAAAATTGGGAACTAGACAAGGCAGTTTGGCCAATGAATCAATAAATGTATTGCTACACAAACAATCAAATTATATTATATTTACAACCTCTGATAAGGTTATGATGTCAAGATAGTTGTAGCTACCTTTAAAATATTTTTTCAATTTCCGCGTGTGCCAAAAAATAAATTTTAACCACTGTTTTCATGTGCAATAAAAACAACTCGCCTCCAGTAATAAGATATTATGTGGATAATAGCTTGTCAGATTATTAATCAAATAACTTGTCTGCGGGGCCATTTAAACTTCACAATATTACTGCATGTCATTACATGTTAATATTGATCAGGGGGATTAAGAAATGATTTGTTATATTAAAAAGCTGTAAGCGAATTGGTTATATCCTGACATATTGCTATGCATTTTTGATAGATTTGGTCGTGGATTATTGAAATGTTGGTAATAACCGAAAATTCGCTATAAACGTGAACGCTATAACCAAGTTGTGTAAAAATCGAATTTTACTGTTTATTTGTTGCTCAGATTTATTGATGGTAATTGTATGAGGACACTCCATGAGGAAGATGGATGTGCAAACATCCTTCTGGTAATAAATTACCTTAATGTCTAGTATATTAGAGGATAAAAATTTTGCATCTCAATTGGAAACTAATGTCAGATCACGCTCTAATTTGAGAAACAGACTTTGTTAGAGACCTGACGTCGAACTGAGTAAATTTATAAGAAAAAGGATTCCGTAAGACTTCTTTTTAAATAAATGTGAACACAGAATCTGTAGTGTGGTGACCCTTGTCAGATATATATCTTGCCTGTGTGACCTTATCACAAACATTAAATTGTTAAATGACTCTAGTGTCAGAAACAGCATGTTGCAGGAGAGACAATAAGCCTTTATCTATATACTTCTTTTTACAGCATTGTACTATGAATTTATCTTAAAATTACAACGGCAGAACATAAAATACTGGAATTTATTATTTTGCAGAGGTTGGTGTGAATTTACAGAAACATTTTATGATTAGATATGAGTTTGATAAAAATCAAGGTCTTTCAACAACTGACTTCAAAGATGTAAAAGTGGGTTTCACTACTAAGACAAAACAGGGAATCCTGATGCAGATACAGTCTCCAAATGGAGAGTACATATCCTTAGAACTGAACAATGCTGGTAAGCTTTATATATTGTTTTAATTGAATTACATATTGTTTTAAAATTTCAATGGGGATTTAATTTTAATCTCCCTTACAGTCATGGAGGCCAAGGTATATAGTTTTTGCTTTTGTTAAAGTTGAAATGTGTGGTTATATTATTGAATAGAAGTTGTTCTATTGGTTGTAAACTATTTAGTTTGAAAAGACACGTTGACAAAAATTAATGTTCACTTTAAAAGTTAAAAAAATAGTTTTAGGGGAGGTGGCATAGTACATCCTTCACATCAATAAAAAAAATGTAAGCCATATTAGTAGCTATATTATATCAAAGAATATCATATAATTTTGCAATTTGAAATGTTAGTTGAAATTAAGAAAGTGAGATGGACAAATGTTGTAACCCTTAATAAAAACATGTCGAAAATCTCAGTAGGTTATCCATTATTATTCGTAGGATATCAATTTTCATGGATGTCATAGGTTAAAGTAAATAATGAATTTAAATGTTCAACAAATTATCAATTTTCTATAGGCTTGTTTCAGAATTTGCCAAAACCATGACATCAAATATCCATGAAAATACAATTTTTCCTCAATTCACGAAAATTGGTACCCACGAAAATAATGAATCCACGGAATTTAAGAAACTTTATATTAAAGAAATGTTTTATGATATCTAAGGTGGTGTTAAATTTGTGGTGAATGTTGGTGAAGCACAGAGATTTGAAATGAACACAAAAAATGATGGTATAGATTATACAAATAACCAACAACATGTAGCTCATTTATGGAGAACCGGTGCTAATAGTGAATTTCTCAACTTACAGGTCAGTAGATTTTGTCACTATATCATTATTTTAGATGTTAACATTTTAACTAAATTCAAATTTTGTGTCACTATATTCAGGCATGCAGCACAGGCATCATCTTTGTCTAGTCTTGAATTATTTGGATAAAAAAGTATAACAAAAATACCAAACTCCAAGGCAAATTAAAAATGGGGAAGTCCAGTTTTACACTAGCTTGATATTTTTAAATCCATTGAAAGTTGTATTCTTTGATTTTATAATATTCAATTTGGTAGAAATACTTTTAAAGGACGTTTTAAAGACTGGACATCAACTCTGTGGTCTCAAAGTAGCATGCTTGCCTCAAGTGTGGGATTTTGTGTGTTTAATCCACAACTGGGTGAAACCTGAGACTTTAAAATTGGTATTTGCCACTTTTCGGCCATGCACACAAAATTTAGGAGTTAAAGCAAAGATGGGTTGGCCCTGAGTTCAGGAGTAGGGTTACAGTCTCTCTGTGAATTGTTCCCTCGTGGTCTAGCAAGATTTTTATGCCCCCGCCGTAGAGGAGGGGGCATTAAGTTTTACCCTTGTCCGTCTGTACGTCCGTACGTATGTCCCAAAATTAGTTTCCATTCTCTAACTTTAGTTTGCCTCAACCAGATGTTATGAAACTTATACACAATGCTTATAACCACAAAACACAGATCAAGTTTGAATTTTGGTGGCGTCACTTTTGCCGTTCTAGAGTTATGCCCCTCTACAAATGGAAAAATTGCTGAATTTTTCATATTCATTCTCTTACTTTAGTTTGCCTCAACCAAATGTTATGAAACTATACACAATTCTTATTACCACAAAACACAGATCAAGTTCGAATTTTGGTGGCATCACTTTTGCTGTTCTAGAGTTATGCTCCTCTACAAATGGAAAAATTGCTGAATTTTTCATATTCATTCTCTTTCTTTAGTTTGCCTCAACCAAATGTTATGAAACGTATACACAATGCTTATTACCACAAAACTCAGATCAAGTACAAATTTGGGTAGTGTCACTTTTACAGTTCTTGAGTTATATCCCTTTATAACATTATATGCAAGCAGGGGCATCATCTGTGTCCCATTGACACATTCCCCATTTATTTTTACTGTTTGTCATTCTCTTACAAAGCAGGATATAGTTAAGTTTCATTAACATTTTTTGTCCTGTATTTGCATGTTATATAACCAGCTCAACATTAAGCAGCTATCAATCTATACTCGAGACAGGGCACTCCTTTTAAGTCGAAATTAATATGTTATATGTTATATGTTATTTGGAAGTTTATTAGTTTATTTAAATGTCAATTAAAGACATACAACAGATAATTTACTTAAAAGAAGAACTTAAAAGGTTGGAGTTGGAACTACCCAGGGATTTAATATAATAGAATTTAATGTACCTTTTATAACAAATGGACTGCCCAATGTATGTCTAATAATTATAAACACTAAAAGTTATCTCAATTCTCAGTTAGTTTAAGTTTACCAGAATGTACTGCATTTATAAATGATCAGAGTGTTTTTATTACAGGTTGATAATTATCAAATCGCCTTTGATAAGCTGGGAGATATTGGAGATCAGATTTTGGATGATCCAAAATATTTATTCATTGGGAATAATGGTAAGTAGTTATGTTGGAATAGATAAAAATATATGGAGACAGCAGTCTTGTATGGACTGTCTCCAAAAATAATTGAAAATACAATTTTTTTCTAAGGAAGACATTTCTGCTAGTTATGGTTTGTATACTTTAAAAGATTACAAAACAGTAAACAGGCTCTTCACAGATTTTGATACATCTGTGGCACATTAAACATTCACTGAAAATCAAAAAGATAGTTCATTTTACTGGTATATTTTTATGCCCCCGCCGTAGCGGTGAGGGCATTAAGTTTTACCCTTGTCCGTCTGTACGTACGTAGGTACGTACGTCCGTCTGCACATCCCAAAATTGGTTTCCATTCTCTAACTTGAGTTTGCCTCAACCAAATGTTATGAAACTTATACACAATGCTTATTACCACAAAACACAGATCAAGTTTGAATTTGGTGGCGTCATGTCAACTGTTCTAGAGGTATGCCCCTTAATAAATGGAAAAATTGCAAAATTTTTAGTTTCGGTTCTCTAACTTAAGTTTGCCTCAACCAAATGTTATGAAACTTATACAGAATGCTTATTACCACAGATCATCATCAAGTTTGAATTTTGGTGGTGTCACTTTATTTTTAAATATTATTGAAAGAAAAATCTTTTAAGTACACAATATTTATGAAAATGGTCCTCAATAATTCCTTTCTCTGTACCCATATACAGAATGGATATCAAAAGTTGGATATAATGCTGGCCAAATTTTTTTTTTTGAATGTAAAGATAAACATTTATATTAAGATTACAAACGAAAGTGAACCAACGCCTGGTAAATCTATAGTACGGTAGAGTCCCTGATGTGGATACCTCGGGTATGCAGGGTCGTTATGATAAAGCACATAAAATGTAGAAAGTCTTAAACAACAACACTTTAGGGACTGCTGCAGAAAATTTATTCATCGACATGTTTCGGTCAATAAATTTTCTGCAGCAGTCCCTAAAGTGTTGTTGTTATAAGACTTTCTACAATTTATATTAAGAGTTATAAAAATTCTTATCCTTTACTGGTAAACTTGTTTTCGGAAATTTAGATATTGTTGTTCATTGCAGGTACGTCAAATGCTGAGAGAGGATTTGAAGGTTGTATTTACAGAATGTCAATAGACAATATCTTCCCTTTGAAGAGAGCATTCCAAGACCCCAGACCTTCCTATATGTGGTTGTATCCTAACAGTAAGTTGTGTGATATTATAAGTTGCATTTCAATATGTCCCTTCAGAAGAAAATTATATTGCTACTTAAAAGTTATGTTATTTGTTTCAGACAGGGCTAGTTTAATTTTACGAATTGTAATGAAAAAACTCTTCAAAGATACCAGGCTTATTAGGGCCTGCATTGAGGATAGTTTTAGCTTTGTCCGTCTGTCTGCCTGTCTATCCATTAAAAGTATAGGTAGAAGGCCAACAAAATTTTACACAGTTGTGCATATTATATTTTGGTAAAATTTGGCTCATTAATTTGGGGGAAAAAACAAATATACCACCTGGACCCTTGCTAACATGTTGGTTTTCTAGTAATTTTGTATGACAGACGCCTGTTTCCTCTACCTAAGACCCATTAGTGGTGCTCGAATTAGAACAGTTGGAAGGCCAATTCAAATACGAAGTTGCAGAGCTTTAAAAACTGAAGATTTGAAAGTTTGCAAATGTAAGGATAAGGAAACGTTCCAGTTTCTCCAAAAGTTATAGGTTTAACACAAGAAAGATATATTCATGTTGCTCTTTTCAGATACAATTCGAGAAGATATGTGTGGTTTTGAGGAAGTGACAGTAATTCCTGATCCTATTGAGATTCGTCCAGGAAGTGGTGGAACGTTAGTCAATATCACATATCCATATGTAGAAGACACCTCTGCTAGGGATAAAGCCATTACTGGAGGTATGTTAGCTTTAACAGGTTATCTTACAGTACATGTATAAAGCTTGATAACATTTACAGTAATCATCTTTGAAACACTGTACAAGGATGGTTTCTTTTATTGAGTCATTTCTGGTACTGTAATTCAGACATAATTGCATGCATTTATTGTTGCGAATTTTTGAAGAATGGACAAGTATGTGAGATTCATTATTGCGATTTCAGAAAAACCTGCATACATATATTTGTATCAGATATTAGAATGCGAGTTCTTATTATTGCGATAATTTCTCATTCACATTATTTCTATTAATTAAAACCTGGCAACAATTTCTGAATATACAGTATTAAATACTGATAAAAGTATACATACTATGCACTTGCATAAGCCTGTATATTATTATTTAATACATAAAAATGTGAAAGGAAATATCTTTGAAATTTATAATGTGAATCAAAACATAGAAAATTTGATAATGTAATAATACTTGAACCATGTATATCTTTAATGAATTATATGGAGATCGAGTAAATGTTAGCTGGACAGCAAACAAGTAATGCTTGTCAAACAAAATAAACATCTAGAAGTACCATATAGATGAGATATATTACGACATGATGTGGTATAATTACCAGTTAGGTAACTATTCATAAAGACAAAAGGACAAAGATGTTAAAAATTACAGGTCATTTTATGCGCTTCAACAATGAGCAAACTTAGACAGCATAGTAAGCAATAAAAGGCCTCGGCATGACAAAATGTTAAATAATTCTAAAGAGAAAACCAATTATTTGTACTACAGACAAAAAATATACAACCACCGGATAACAGGGTTTGATTAAGGCAGGTATATAAAGCATGTGGCCTTTGTAAGTGCTCAACCTTCCCTTAACATGTAAAAGCATTGGTTACAAAATATAAGAACAACAAAAAATAAAGTTGGAAATTGCTTGACTCATCGCATTAGTACTAAGCACAAAGACAAAAAGACATCTTTTATATTAAGTTACTTTAACTTGCCAATTTTAAACTTGAATTAACAATTTTCTTTTGTTTATTTTTTAGGTGTATTAGCAGTTGTATTTTTAATCATCATTGTGTGCATTATAATAGCTGTGATGTATTTCCGAGAAAAGGGAGATTATTCAACCAAAGAAGCCACTGGTCAAGATTTTGTCGATAATCCTGACGCAGCTCTTGTCATTAATTCAACTGGTGTACCAGACATTGGTAAACGACAAGAATGGTTCATGTAGAACAACTTCCATGTCATTTTGTAAAAATGTGATAGAAAATTCATTTTTTCATTTTTGATTTGGTTAGCAATATATTTTGATACTAGCATTTAAGGTTTCTTATAATTTAAGTTCATTTGCCATATAAATAATTATTATATTTAAAAGTAGTAAAACATGTTATCTAAATTGAAAATATTATTTTCTACTTAACTAGTAATAGTTTTATTCTAAAATTAAGTTGATACAAATTAAGAAAGTATACCTAGATTTTTTTTTAATTATGTGACATCATTTTTCATTTAATTACATGTATATCAAAAGTGCTTTGTAAATATCATAATCATGCTGATGTAAATAATTTGTATACTATTGTAAATTAAATCAAAAAGGATTTTTCATCTTAAGCACATTTCATTTTGGTAGTGTATACATTACATTTTAGATCTGATATTGTAAATTTTACAGATAAGTTTTTTGTAGAGCTTGAATATTATTACTCATGAACAAAAGATAACAAAATCTATTTGATTTCCAAAACCGATACATTTATCAATCTTTAATTTATTTTATTTTTTATCATATATGTTGTTTTTAATCTAAAGAAAGTATAAAAGAAAGCAAAGTTAGTGACATGGATAACTTTTCAGATCTTTTAAGTTACAACAAAATTTTTTACATATTTTTATTTGTATTAAGTGAACTTTTCTGCATTTCAAAAAGCACAAGTTTCAGTTTTATTTATAATACATTCCAGATATTGTTTATATTAATGTATAAAATATGTAGATATTATTTTTATAACAAAGGTTGTATGTATCATACGTCAGATTAATTTTTTTTAATTAATCAAAGGGAAGATAACTTTTTATTATTTGATATCTAAAAAATTATATACCTCAAAATTTATATAATTATAACTTATATTAAGCAGTTGTTGATAATTGAATATTTTGTTTATTTTTTTCTAAATTTGAAGATTACAAATTAATGAATGCAATATTTGTGCCATTTGATGTGTTTAGCGGTTGTTAGTGACTCAGTCTACTTATTAATAAAGCATACCATTTAAATAATGAGAATAAGTTTTATAACCCAAAAAACCATGATACAAGGAAATAACAAAATTTTTGTTGTCTTATAATTAACTTTGCAAATATTTTAATTATTCAGAAAAGCATGTTGGTATTCACATTAAATAAGTTGTACTCCAGAGATATATTTAATTCTTTATCTCGAACGTGTCACTTGGTAGCTTTGGTTTTGGTTTAGCCTAGATAAGGTGGCATAAGCGAAACTTTTTTATTTCTGTTTACTGACACACAATAAATCATGCGCTCTAAAAATAAAATAGGGGGGGGGGAGAAGATCCATTAGCAATTTATAATGCATAACAGCAATTAATGGAACAGCCAAGGGGATCCCTTTAAAAGGCTGTCATGTAATTCTAATGTTTAAGTGGATATTTCTTTGGGTACCACTATTTCCATAAATAGTGTGCAGGAAAACTTCATGTTTTTCTATTATAGATAAAACGGATACATTATTACACATATCATGTATTTAACTTTGTACATATCATTTTAAAGAATACGTTATGTGGATTATTCCAATCAGAAGATTTTTGTCATTCCATTTTATAATAATGATATATTTTACAATAAACTTTATTGATTCTATAATTGTGTTTTATTGTCTTGACTGCATCAAATTTTGATACATGAGCAACACTGATGTTGTTTTGGGCTGTGTTTTCATCATTTATTTTAATTTTATTTTATAAGTGAATTTCAGACCCAAGTATTTATTATAAAACTTTGAAATTAAAGTTTTTTGTGTTTTGTAGAATTCATTCATGTTAAATACAAGAAGAATACAAGTCCCTATGAATTCAGACATGCTCCCATTTATCAAATTTGATTGTTAACTTTATCAATGTATATTATACCCCACGCAACAAATTTGAATAGAGTCCGTCCGTCAGTCCTGTTATTGTCATCACTTAAATTCTCCCTGTCTGCTTGTACGAATTTAAAGCATTTCTTTACTAATTCCTTCGTATAAATAAGACAAAAATCTAATATTGGTTTGGTTGCTCGCAGTAACTTGTTCTTTTCTTTTGCAAACAATGTTTAAGAACATAATATTATAATATAAATGAACAATATTCAAATTGACATTTGCATACAAGAAAATTGTCCAACGTCATTATACATGTATATAAATGAAATCAATCTCTATATGATCCATATTCATATATATGACAATAAATGGTAAACTGTATGTTGTAGTTACTGTGAGCACCTTTGATGAAATAACACCTCATCAATTTCTTTATATAATATAACGGAACCCCACCCTTTAAACCGCAAAAGGATTTCACGTGCATATATAACCAATATATCTAAATCCAAAATAACAATAACCTGTTTTACAACTTCTCTTACCAGTTTGAATATATATAATTATATATAACACAGGGAAATCCCTATAGTCAAACGAAAAGAAATATATTTAAATTCTCCCTCGCCTGCTCGTTTGAATTTAAAGCTTTTCTTTACTAATTCCTTCGTATAAATAAGACAAAACAAAACTCTAATATAGGTTTGGTTGCTCGCAGTAACTTATCAAATTGATAAATTTGATTGTTAACTTTATCAATGTTTATTTTACCCCACGCAACAAATTGAATAGAGTATAAGGTTTTGGACCCGTCCGTCCGTCCTGTTATTGTCATCACAACTCCTCTGAAACTGCACAACAGAATTTCATGAAACTGTGTAGATGTGCATATCAACAGAATTATGATTCAATTTTTTTTTTAGGAGTTGTACCTTTTTGAACTTAAAATTTTGACCTAAACATACTGCTGCAAGTTTGTCACATGCAGGGTTTCATCTCACAACCTCAGTGTTGACAGACTATTGATACAGTAGTTGAACTCCTTAAACCACTAGGCCACCGAGTACCTTAAAAGGAACACTGACGAAGTCTCTTGACTTTTGACAGGCACATTAACATGTAGAATGGTAAAATTAGTTTGTTGGGTACACAATCCTCCTGAGGTCAACCTTGAGAGCTGAATTTACACATAAATTCATACCGTTCGCTTTGTTCGCGGCAGCTAAAGAAACACAAAAATTTGACCCCGCGTAAATTTCCTTGCATATTCCAAGATTTCTCTCTGTTTAAATGTTGCACACATTATACTGTAAATTATCAAGTTTACACGAAATTGATATGTAACCTGTTTTCACATTATTAAAAGATGAAATAACTTTATACATAAAATCAGTCTTTTGTGTTAACCGACAGATCACAAGAATGTGCATATTTAATTAAAAAGTCTGTTTTCATAATGATTAAATTGGCTTATCATACATGTCATACATTTTGACCTCACAGCAATCCGTGACATATTCAAAAATATTAATTAGCGACAATCTGTTTATTGTTGTGATTACCAATGCAGGTAGTCTTGAATGCTTCAAGACTTACCTGCATGAGATGAACTAGATCAACGCCAAGATGTTTAAAATTCACTGTATATATGATGTATAGCACAATTCAAATCAATTCAATATTTATTTTTTTTTTTTCTAAATTTTAAATGCGCATCCAAAAAGTGGCAAAATAATCAACTTATTGATGGTGGCCGCGTATTGGTAGAAGTACCCAAACATTTTGCATATAATGTAAAAATCAAATTAAAATAAATTACATTTACACGGATATTTGCACAAATATGCTTTAAAAATGTTCTAATATACAATCAATTATAGCATGCCGCAATGTAATAATTTACTTTCCTTGAAAGTTCTCTGAATTATGTGTATTTTAGATTGCAGTATTGGTATTTATTTGCAATCGATTAATTGTCAATTAATAAAGTTTATGTTGTTTACATCTCTAATAATAACTATATATAGTGATTTTTTTGCGTGTATTTTTCCATTCAGCGAAAATTATACACAGTGAAAATATAACCTGCCCATTTTATCATCAAATCGTGAAAAAAACCAATATACAGTACGATTCGTTATGAAAAAGCTCTTTACTCTTATATTTGTATTATAAACAACAAAAACACAGAAGAATGATCTGCAGTCACTGAAAGTCAGATCAATGTACTTAATGTGCTACTATAGAAATCATGTCATTCTATATTCTAAAATCAGTTGATGTCCTTCAGAATAGATTTCATAAAGCAACATCATAAGTCTAAAAATACATGTGAAATGCCAAAAGTAGATTAGCACACTTTCAATACAGAAAACATAAAACATTAGTTTCACACGTCAAACTGAAAATATATATATGAATTGATATTAAATCCGTAAAGTACAAGACACAATTCTTTTACACAGGCATGGTTATAATCTTTATCAATAAGTGTATATATAGCCAAAAGATGATTAGAGGTTTTTTGCTGAACAATATTTATTTAAAGTGAGTGAGATCACTGTTGGCAAGAAAGGATGATTTGTGTGCATAATTTCAAACTGTATTGTAGTCTTCCATTGAGGTAGGTAGAGAAAAAAATATGCATTTATTTTCATTACTTCTATTCTATAAAAAAATAAGCAATTTTTCAGTAGACGATATTTTTTCTTGTTTAATACTGTCTATTGATGCAACCAAACAACAAGGCCATCATAGCTAAAACAGGGTAATATGCAAATAACCATAGAGTATCTTGAAAACCATCATAGAGAAAGATCTATCTACTTCCCATTTAAACAAAAACTCGGGTTCCTTAGAGTTACAGCCCTTAAATTAATTTTTTTTTAATTGAAGTTTTACGTTTTCAACTATTATTCCAAACTATATAAATGAAACTTGGCTTGCAAAAATAATCTGCACAAAAACATCTAAAATTGATTATTGATGGAAATAAAGCTTTCCTTTGTGCTACAAGGGGGTAGTATGAGAATAAAAGGTACATTATCCTGAAGAAGAGTAGATGAGGAATCCAACGACACATCATTTATCTACTGTGACAGTATTTTTATTCATGGGTATCAATTTTTGTGGTTTGAGCAAAAGTTACATGTTCTTGGGTTCTTAAGTACGTGGATTTTAGTTTTCTGAAGAAAAATAATCGAGTGAAAAATTTGAAGCAATCACAAACGAAGTTTTTTGAAAAAAATCATATCTGGTTATATGATGATTTGTGGAAGATTGCAAAATAAGGTGTTCATTTTGACTTGCTTGTTCATCTTTCATTACTGACAACATTCATCTAATTTTTAATAAAATAATTGCTTTCGGAAATAAGCTGATTCATCTATGCTTACAAATTGTCTCGATTGAAGGAAATTGCAAAGTAAACATTTTAATTGTTGCACACATGTAATCAGAAGTGATGACACTAATTAAACCGAGATCGAATGATCAACAGATTAACAATCAAAGGTGTTAATTGGGCCATAAACATGTCGATTAAAGAAATCGGTTACATAAAAAAATGCTACAAATGTACTTTGAAATGTACAATTAATTCTTGTGAAATAAAAAAGCAAACTCAATATGAATTTTTTTTTTCGTGCGAAAATTATGAGGCAATAAAATGAACACTTCATCATCACACATCACCGGAAATCTGACTTTCGTAATTTTATATGAGAATTAAAAGGTTAAAAGTTGTACAGTTTAAAGATTAAATTGGTAAAATCTGTCTGGAGTTGTACATGTATATAGTGCATTTCCTGATATTCAATATATTCTCTAGATTATATGCCTGTATCCATGTAGTCAAACCAACATGGGGATCTTTGCATGTCTTGATTTGGACAACAGTTGTTATATTTCTTTGGACACTTAAATTCGTGGATAAAGCCATCCACGAAAACTACGAAATTTAGTACCCCACGAATAAAAGTACTTTCACAGTACTTGAAAACATATATATATTATGATTTTGAGACAGAAACTTGCCACCCCAAGCTAAGTCTAGGTTGACAATTTCCACGTTTTCTATATGGACTGTGCTCAAGACATCCGACAGCCAAAACAAGTCCTTACAAAGACTGTCAGTCATGAAAGCAATCTTGGACCAATAAAATATGGGCTGTCTATCTCTTCCATCTTATAAAGTATAAAGCCTTAAGCAAAAAGTTAAGGCAGTCTTCACTGCCACTACAGCATACCTATGCCTTGACTTCTGTGACATATGTCATAGTGAAGAAAATTAGCAACAGATGATAATTGCAAAGTGATAATATCTCATATGAATATCCACTAAAGGTTAAAATAAAAGAAAAATGTGACAGAGGACACGAATGCCCCAGCTCAAGCTTTGCAATTTTCTTCCAAATCTAAAAGGGCATAACTCTAGAATGGCAAGAGACTCACTGCCCAAATTCGAGCTCTGTCTGCAAGTTTTGGTTCTTAGCATTGTGTAACAGTTTCATAAAATTTGCATAAAGCAAATTTAAGTTACAGTGTGTAAAAGAAAATGGGACGGACTATAAACAGAAAGACGGACGGAAGGACTGTCAAGGGTAACACTTAATGCGCCCCTTGCCTACAATGGGAGCATAAAAAACAACCACTATTGAATTAGCACTTTAAAATATATTATAAATAAAGGTGATTTATTGCAGCATTTTGACGAGTACATAGTACTTTTTCCAAATCTATATTTATTCAAATAGATAAAATGTCTGTTTATTTGCTAGTC